GGACATATATGTTGTGGATAATACTGGCACAATGAGATCCAACTTTGCTTCTAAACCGAAGATCACACTTCAGAACCCTTCGTATCTGAATGTCGATCGGCTCAGAAATATCTTTGGTGTAAACGTAATTTCGACGCCAACCCTTCTTACCTTTTCCCAACTTCAGAATTTCTATATTTACACGGCACTCGAAAATGACTGGGAGAATTATTTCTGGAGTCATATGGATGTTATCGTATTGTCCGACGAAGACTTAACCCATGCACCACTGAATCAACAACGCAATCCTGCGACATCTCACAAGTCTCTATACATGCGAGCTGTCGATGAACTTCGGAGGACCTCGGATCCTGATTACGCGAAAGGATACGATGGATGGGGAATTCGCTTCTTCGAGTATGATTGGCTTGCGCTAAATAACGTACAAAGCTTTGTGAAAATGGGGGGATGGGATCCAATGATCAGCTATTACTCTTCTGATTGCGACATGTATCAGAGGCTTCAGATGGCAGGTATTAAGCTAGATACGGCCGAGGCGGGCTGGGTTATGGATGTGGGAAGAACAATTGATCTAAACTTGCTCTTTCGTCGAAAATACAATCCAGATATGCCTCCCAAAACGACAACTGACTTGAATAATTTGGCAGAAGATATGATTGGAGGGGAAGGCTTCCGACAACTGATAAAGTTGGTTCAAGCCGAAGCAGAATGGAAAAACAATGATCCAAGCGCTAGAAATCATTGGCAACGAAGGCAGTTAGGAGGTCAAGGAGAGCCATTTCATCGCGATCCTCGGGGTTTCGAACAAGCACTTGAGATATTAATCCGAAGTGGAGATGAGATATATTCAGAAAAATGGGGGCACATAGGTTGCGATCTTAAAGAATCTGGATTGCAATTAGAGGATGCTTGGATGGTTGAGCATGACTGGGAGTAACAATTCGATTGGGGGATGTTCACTTCACTATCAATTATTCATCAGATGGTATTCACTATAGTATCCATTTCTTTTGTTATTGGGTTTTATTGTACGGCGAATGAGACATAGGATCTTTTACCATTTATGTTTTCATCATTCTTACTCCATTCACGTCTTCCAAAATCGATTGCGTGATTGACAATTTTCTTTAGGAGATTCTAGTTTATTGCCACGCCTGAAGTCTGCAGCTTATTGCCTGCATCCCCCAAAAAACAAATCTCAGAGCCGCATCCAGCATATAAGCCGAAACCTTTCAACCCAGGTTTACCCTTGATATCCCATTCTGATCGTCATCCCGTATGGACTCTGATACTTCTAGCCTGGCCTCGGGCATCACATTTGATAGTGTGCCACTTCGTGAATCATTTTGCGATCCCTATCTCGATGCACTTGTGGAACGGTACAAAGACGATACGCATTCCAAGCTAGATGAGAGCCATGCCAATCGTATTGGAAATGTTGGCGCCGAGAATCTTGATCTCCCAGATGATGACTTCATTAATGAAGACATCATTTCTAACAACTCTTCTATGAGAACCCGATTCCCAACCAAATCATCTACTTACGTGTACGAGCAAGAATCATTTGATACCTACCGCTGTAAAGTCAATCAGTTGTGTATTGATATAGGCCTTGGCGAACCATCAACTATAGAGCGGATGGATGGAGGAAGTTTCACTCGGGTAATTGGCTTGTCATTTCGAAGTGGCTCTGGAATTCAGCGACGTATCCTACGGATCCCGCGAGAATGGGATGCCAAATGGTCGAAGCAAACTGATATCCAAAATCAGGCCGAAATAACTATGTGGCTTCAGCAATTCGCATTCCTTCATGTACCTGAGGTTTTGGCTATCGATACAACCGCTGCGAATTCTCTTAAATCACCATTCGTGTTACAAGAGAGGATTCGAGGAATACCCCTGGACAACTTGTTCTTTGAGACTCCCGCGCAGCTTTCCATGTCTGCGAAACTTGAAGTTGTGAAGACTATTGCTGAGTTCATAATAAAATTAGAGAGAACCACTCTAGATAAGCCGGGAAGACTGGTTGGCACCCATGCTGTACCGTGGACTTCATCTTCGATTGATTCTTCCACACCACGAATTGAATTCGCTGGCTTCTCTGCGAGTTTCATGGAGACCGCACCTCCTCTTGAGAAGCAGAATTTACCGTCATTACTCTCCAATATGATAAAATACCACCAGAGTAACAGAACTGAAGATGATAAAGTGTGGGACATGTTGCTAGTTGTTTTGGAGGAGATGGCGGCAAGACACTTTTTCAAATCATCTGACTCAATCAACGTTTTGTGGCACTGGGATCTCGAGCCTCGTCACATTTTCGTCGAAAAGTCCGAATCTGGAAAGTGGGAAGTTAGCGGAGTCATTGATTGGGATGATGTAAAGTCCATGCCGTTAGTTCTGACTAGAGCTCCTAGGTCCTGGCTCTGGTTCTACGAGGAGCGTTTCGAATACGGTAATAACTTTACATATCCATGGGACGGAGACTATGACGCGCCTTTAGAGCTGCCCCTCAATGAGGATGTAACAATTGTTAAAGAGTATTTTGATCGGATGATGCAGGAGGCGGACCCGACGTATATGGATGATACATACGGAAGAGGTCTTTGGATCCGTCGACTCGCTCGATTTGCAAGGGATGGAATTTATGGTACCTTGCACTTGAGAAAATGTGAGAAGTTTATCGAAGATTGGAACAATTACATTGGTGATGTGGGTTCGATTTTTGGGGAAAACATGTAGCATATATTTCTTGAAGATGGTACGCATCTTTAGACAGAGTGTATCACTTCTCTCGGCAGTCCGTCTTCTCTCAAATAGAAATTCAGTTCGGTATAATCATATCCAAAGTGAGTGCCAGAATCTATTAATTGCTAAAATTTACACTATGCCTCAAGAGCGGCGAGTCTATATCTGTCTTAGTTCTAGTAGAACAATCTTCTTACAAATCGAATTTTTGTCCTACAAGCTTCTCACTCAGCGCCCACAATCGCTCCGCATAGTCTGGGTTGGTGGTATAATCTGCAGTTTCAGCAATTTGACAATCGGCAAGGTAGGCACCCGAGTGATCTGTATGATTTCCAAGTGTTAGCATTGAGAAAGTATGGTAATTTGGGAAGTCATAATGGATTTACCTTTCAAAGCTGGATCAAGAGCCGCAACTAATGTTGTGGATGTGCCAGCTTCTAAGCTCTTCCAAGGCAATGAGCCATCCATTTTTATGTGTCCTTCATTATCTTGTCAGTAAAACTTGGACTATCTTGAATGATGGAATTCGAAGTCTGAATTACCTCTAGAATTGAAACGTTCGGTCATAGAGCCATAATCTTTCTCCGGATCCATCTCTCTTACCAAATTCGTGATGATCACGCCAGGGTGAACAGCAAATGCGTGTACTCCCTTGCTTTTCAATCTCTTTGCCAACTCAACGGTAAATAGAATATTTGCTGATTTGCTTTGGCCATACCCTGACCATTTGTCATAGTCTTTCCCATCATTGAAATTATAGTCATCGAATCTAACTTCGCCCAATGACCATCCCATACTGGAAAGATTGACAATTCGTGCTCCTTCAGATGCAGCAGCAACAATAGCTGGCATGAGTAGGTTTGTTAGAAGGAAATGCCCCACGTGGTTTGCACCAAATTGAACCTCCAGACCTTCGGCGGTAGTGTTGTATTCGGCTGGCGCCATGACACCCGCATTATTGATGAGGGTGTGGATCTTGGGAGTGGTAGCCAGAATAGATTCAGCTGCAGTTTTGATAGATGAATACTTTCCGAGATCACAATGAACGAATTTAACAGTTGTGCTTGGAGAAGCCGCTTTCACTGATTCTACGGCGGGTGCGGCTTTGGATTCGTCGCGTCCGAGGAGGAGAATAGTTGCTGGCTTAGATGCAGCAAGTAGCAAGGCTGTTTGAGCTCCCAGTCCGCCTGGTGTTGGGCCGGTAATAACAACTAAGAATGTTAGAGCAAGTTCATGTGTAAGGGAGAATAGGATGAACTCACATGTCTTGTCAGCGACAGACTTTGGGAATGAAGCGACGACTTCAGCGCCATTTGTCTCTTGGTTGAATTGCTTTTGACTGGCCATTTTGCTGTTTGTATTGAATCGAGATAGGGAACTATCGAAAGATGTGTTGGTGGGTTGATTGTAATGTTGAAGTTGATGATGTGTTGATGAGTAGAAACATTCTGGTGATCGAGAAATGCAGTCTTTATATACATAGTTTCATCGCTCTCGAACTCTATCACAGTTCCTTCCCAATCCACAATATTCTGGGCCCTAATCCATCGGCGAAGGGTATTCAGTTCTCCATCCACAGCATTTGCTTGACATCATCGATGTCACTGCCAAATTTTTGCATTGATGGACTGTACTAATTGAATAGAGTCCGAAATGCTTACCAATGTCCAAGTGAGGAGACCTATAATTCGACCGAAAACTCACATTTCAGTACCCACAAAGTAGCAGTAATTCCGAAAGAGAATGTTAGCATACGGATTAATGAGTTAGAAGTTTGCTTGATGACGGAGTTAGATTTCTGACGGAGTTATGCCATGCGGTTATTGCGTCCGCGAGCGGCCGTTAGACCGCGTCGGATGTAAGTTCAATTTTTGATCTCCAAATCCGATGTTCGCATACCCCCGAGCCCCCATCGTTGAGGACATGATTGATAAAACTTCCGGCGTGCTTCACTCCCATCTTGCGATATTATGCAGCCGAAAATAGAGTTTATGAGTTCATATATTTAACTATCTCCATTTTGGAGTACCAATTCTTACTCTTGGCGATGTCAATGCTGTGTGCCAAACGGGTTTATGAATTCAAGTCGAATTCCGAGATGTTGAGAAATTGTCAAGGTCCCCTCTTCTTTGCTTGGAAAGTGAGATGGTGTAGCAAAATACTCTAAGTTCTTCGTTCTTTGGGCTTTAAATAAAGGAGCCTCACCCGCTTGAAAATATAGCATACATCGCTACTTTCTCGTCTTCTTCAAAATGGTGTTTACACTCCGACTACTACACTCCCAATTTATCGTCAAGGTGCCTAAACCAACCACTTGTTTCAAAGGCAAGACCATCATAATCACCGATGGAAATACAGGTCTAGGCTTCGAAGCAGCGGAGTACTACCTCAAACTCAAAGCATCCAGAGTCATTCTTGCTTGTCGCTCCCTCGAGAAAGCAGATAAAGCCAAGCTCGAGCTGGAACAGACTTTCGCTATAAGAGAAGACATCTTAGCAACATTGCAGGTTGATTGGTCTTCCTACGTACCTGGCATTCAGTTTTTCTGAGAAGGCAAAAACTCTGCCGCGTTTGGATGTCATGCTCCTAAATGCGGGAATCATGACCAAAAACATCGCGTAGTGGAAAATAATGAGTCAACTATCACGGTTAATGTTATTTCGACTTTCTTAATGGCAATCTGAATAATTTTGAAATCGAAAGAAACTACAAACTTTTTCGGTACAACACCACATATGACAATAGTTCCCTCCGATCTGCATTTCCTCAGTGATTTTTTGGAATGGAAATCTGATGATATATTCGCATCTTTGAATGACAAGGAAACCGCTCGTATGAATGATAGGTACAAACATCATCTTCTTCATTAATGCCACACAGCTAAAAATTTCACAGATACAGCGTTCCAAAACTCATGGAAATCCTCGTCGTTCGTCATTTTGTATCTCTACACGGGCCAAACTACCCCGTCATCTTCAACATCGAACAGCCAGGTTGGTGTCAATCAAATCTCTCGACCGAAATAGCCACCCAATTTCAAAAGAAAATAGAGAACTTCATGGGAAGGACTACTGAAGAAGGTGCGAGAAGATTAGTATTTGCAACTTCATTTGGCGAAAAATCTCACGGAAAATATATCGGAAATGGGGGACTCTTATCGTCGGTTCATCACCCTTCCATGATACGCACAGATAGGAAACAGCTTCTTACCTCAAACTACAGGGAGTCGTGTTTTGTGACAAGTCAAGATGGTGCTGCAGCTGGCGAGAAACTGTGGACTCAGTTGTCCAGCAAGTTGGAGAGAATTCAACCAAACGTCATGGAGGGATTCTAGCACTCTTTGAATTTCTCTTGGGTTCATTTTGCGATGTTTGTGATTTCCTATTCAGAAATCCTTGCCATAACAAATCATACAAATATTAACATCAAAATTCTTAATCTAACATTGCTGTCGTACTTTCGTCCTCGCCTAGCTCCGACCACCTGGGCAATAAAGGCAAGTTACTGTGCCACAGTTGGCCGGTGGCTGAGACTCCACACGTGTCCAGGTGCTAGGCAATGGAATCCCCAACACCAACATTTTAATTGTCAATTCCTTCCGACAAACATCAACAGCATCACCGCCTTCATCCTTAAACATATACAACAATTGTAATGTCTTAAATTTGACTCAATATTTCTTTGTGATTCTGCAGAGCGTTCAAGGTCTCAATGCAAGGCTACGACATTCCAAAGTTGGAAGATTCTAGGGTCGCGGTCGCGGTTGGTTGATTGGCCGTGGCCATTGGAGTTGGGATTGGGCCTGTAGTGAGGAAGGCGAAATTAGGCACGAATTGAGAGACTACTGGAGACAACGAGTTCCAAGTTTGATTCAAGTGAGTCAATGAGGATGTGTTTTGAGATCTTGATATCGATGGACTGTGCGTCGGGAGAATTACCCGTGCGATGATTTCTTTGATGATGTTGAAATGTTTCTATAATACAGTAACTATAGGGTCCATGACTTGAATGAATAAAGTCTTATTTAGAAACATCTGAAAGAAAGCCATTGGGACTTCATCATGTCGAGAACGAGGAAAGAATTATTGTTCAGTCTTGGTGCACCTCGTAATCCTGGGCCGTCGCTGTCTCTGACATTGCTTCCATATTTCTTTATCCTCTCGCGATGGCGTACAGAGTCGAATGAAATTGGATGGGTGTATATAATCATTTGTTATTCCTCACTAGGAAAAGTCATTCCGCTCGATATCTCTGGCAGATGAGCATTTTATATCTTGTCCCATACTCTTTTGTCTTTCCAATATCCCAAGGAATTTTATATAGATCTATTCAAGATGAGCACCAGAAATGGACCTGCTTTACAGATACACGAAATTGGCGTGGGATGTATTTTGTGGCTCCCACCTTTCAATGACACTAATGGAGATTTACGACCCCTTTGTCAACGTCACACTGGTATGCGGCACTTAATGGATATCAATGCATTTGATCACCCAGCGGTTGTTCTCAACATTCACAATCGATATGGCCCAGATCCTTCTATTCATTTCATCACAGTAAGTCTTTCAAGCAAGAAAACACTTCGGACCACTAATGAAGATTCCTTGGTTAAGTTCGTATCGTGGTAGTTGCCGCTCTCAATGCGGGCCACGCTACTTGCTTGAGAATGGTGAAGATGTCGAGATTAAGAGTAATTTCTGTATTTGGCATAGATTTGTGCTCAGCTTGTCAAGATTTGATGCGTACAATTGGGGACAAACAAGACCTAGTGATTACCGACTTACTCACCGATCGTATCTATATTTGATGGAAAGATTGGGGCTTCATGCTGATACTTTTCATCCTATATCGCGTATCAATAATGGGTTGCTACAAGCACCATCACCAGCTCCACCGCCACCTACTCAACAACTACAAACCGTGAACCGGCATCGTGAGAGTAAGCCGCATGATCCATTTCTCAAAGTAGATGTACTAATGGAATGCAGACAATCCCTATGCTTACCTAGAGCCAGACGAATGCTGTCCATGAATCGACAGAGAAATGAGCAAGAAAGATCGCGGTCCAGGACCATGTTGTGTAATGTTTCGTGTTAAATTTGAGAATCGTTATGGGTATTTGCTGCAGACAGTGAATATTATTTTGTATACAAATTACGATTACTATATTGTGAAAGTGTAACTTATCACGTTCCTAATAATCTTCATGCAAATGCTCAGATTTTTTAGCCCGGAATGCTGCCTGTCATATTAATATTCCTTCATAATGTGAGAATCGTATAAGGTTGTAGTGAAAATTTAAGAAAAATCGAGTTCTAAGAGTTTAGGGCTGATTCTTGATTTAGGGCGAATATGGAGTGACAAAGAGTATACAGAAGAAGAAAAGAAACGAATGGAGGTTTCCGGTACTCAATTGAAGAAAGTTGATGCATCTAAGTCGAGTGACTTCGGATTCCGAAGTCGCAGTCTGGACAAAGTGCATTGTCTTGGGAAGAGATTTTGTGTTAGATCTCTGAAAGGGATTTCAAATATCTTTAGGATGTTCGAGAAGATGCACTTATTCACGGGCGATGTGCGCAACAATTAATATAATCAATATAATACATTGTATAGAAAGGTTATTTCGAGGTGTTGAAACGGTTATCAAGGCAATGGCCTCTCGTTTCATGAATGCGACAGCTACAGAAAATGGATGATTAGAACTACGGGAAACAATCAGAACCGTCTGTCTCATTCAATTATGGATATTCGCGATTAGGTATCGTGAAGATTCTCGGTGATTATTTTGTGTTTCAAAGTTTGGTGGAGTATAAGATGCAGCCATGATAAATAGGTAATGAGTACTCTGAGTCTCCACGACGATATACCAGCAATCAATCCGGATATCTCCACCAAATTGCGCCTCCAATAGCCTATCTCACTGATCACTTATTTATTTCTCTTCCCGACACATCTATCTTCCTTTAAAGAAAGCCGACCTTGTCCAACGTCTCCTCGCCAGATTTGACGTTGTCATGGTACCAGAGATTGCCCTAAAGAAACATGAGCTTGGTGCAGGCTGCATTGTAAAATTGCGCAGAACGAAAGCCGAAAACACTTGTGAAGGAATTTGTTCGGAGAATCGTTGCCCGAATTTCTGCACGCAGTGTCTAAATGTGTGATGATACCGCAAAACATTGCAAGTTAGAGAAGGGGTCCTATGGACATCCAGCTCTGGTTTTGGGTGTAAGAGAGAGGTATAACATAGCTTATGTTACCTTTGTCATTGTGAGCTCAAGGCTTCTTCATATCTCATTGAATTTCTGTAGACTAACTTGGATCAAAGATTTCAGCGCTTGGGAGCGACTTCAGTACCTTTCAGGAATTCTTGAACAAACGCGGAGATCCTGGAGCACTCACCCCTTGCGCCTTTGGCCCGAAATATCGCTGGCGACCCGAAGAAAATAGTTATGGATTAAAATATGCCGTCGAGCCCAGCGGTATAAATTTCACAAAGCGTTGTTACCTCCAACTTCAGCACAGATATACTCTTGAAATCGACTCTTTCGTCACCTTCAGGCCTAAGAATCATCCCGGCACTAAGCATGCTTATGGTTTGAGATTCACCGAAGAATCTTATAGCAAGATTATGAAGAGAATTGGATTGGAGAAAGAAAAGTTCGTTTCAACTGACGATCTAAAAAGGGGAAGAGGAGGTGCCACAGGAACTACAACCACTCTTGATACAGGGTCATTGCCTTCTGTCGATATTGACAAGCGTCCATATCGCACTTAAAGAATCCTATTCTGCACCGGCTTAGAGACGCCAGTCTTCCAGAGAATAGTTCTAGCTTTATATCTCATCAGCATCCACTCCTAGCCCGACGACAGTACTTGGTCCGATACAGCTGAACTTACTTGGGACACAAGAGCCATGTTGAGCTCTAATAGCGTCCATCAAGCGATCGGATTTCTGAGCCTAAGAATTGATAACATCACCATGCCAATACCCTCTCTCTCTCTTTGTCAAAATCCTCAGTCTGATATAAGCTTACTACATATACTCATATTAGTCCAATCACAACATCTCAATGGTTTCACTCTACCGCCTTTTTTTAGGAAAAAAATCCAAGACTCGGAATTTTGACAGTCTACGTGGTAGTCGTATCAGATAAATCGTGGGTGAATAATATCACGGCGATATTCCTGACCGGAGTTATGGTTTTGATCAATACTGAAAGTTGTCAGTGAATTAGCTCTGTCATCGAAGGAATTGGAGTAGGTTTATTTCGAAAAAGATACCCGCTTGATACTTCGACTTACTTGCCGCTGGCGCCCATTTTTTGGAATCAATAGAAAAATATCATTCAAACAAATATTTATTTAATACATGGCTGAAAAGTTTCAGTGAGGAGCTTTTGCTCGAACGTGTCGAAATGAATAATACTAATTGTAACTTACAATTGGAACTGAACAATCGATTTATTTGATTTATCTGATCGGCAATGGGAACTCTATTACTTTTAACATGGAAATTGAAAATCGAGCCTACTAGACTGTTGATAGTACTGACCAAACTTACTATCAAGTCTTCCTTTCGTCCATATTACTGATGTTTCATGTCTTTTTGATAGCCTCAAGGCCGGCCTGTGGAGAAAATTTGTCGCCTAAAATAGCGAAATTGCCAGGCACCATTTGAGAGAGCTAGGAAGTTTCTTCCGAACATGTTTTGGGTTGAAAATAATATCTCATCATTGATCAAAATGTTTTGCCTCTCGTCATTCTTTGGCCATTGAGGTCTACTGACCTCGCACCCAGCCTTATTTCTACAGTCAGAAATTTATGACCACATCTCAGCCTCGCCGTTGCTATGACCTGAGATGACCCTAAGCGCCGATTCCCTCCAACCTAACAAGCGTCATTCGACCAATCGATTCACTTCCGCAAAATTGTTTTGTGTGCGTGATCAAAAAATGTTGTGTTGGTTCGGTCTGTCCATGCGATCTCGGGGTAAAACATTTCATCGCTCCTCTAAACACGGGGCTTAGGGGAAGGATTCTTTGTGTCTTGGTTGGGTTTGCCAACGATTAACAGGCATTGAATAAATAAAAAGTGCTTATACTTTCACAAACTGTTTGATTTAATGTGCACCTACTAATAACGGGTTGTCATCAAATCATAGAACTATATCATTCTTTGCAATCCCGCCCACATTCCAAAAGGTAGCTGGACACCAGTGAGTCGCAACATTTCTTCGTCGTCGTTCTTTTCTTATCACTTGCAATGGCCATCGCGAACCCGCTTGAGTTGAAGTCTACAAAACCACTTACACCTCCACCAAGTGACGAGAATTTTCCTCGACCAAAAGTACGATCGGGTGATCTATGTGTTGGTTGCATTGTCTGGTTACCTTCAGAGGGTTTCGACAAGAGCATTAAATGCTGCAAAAGAAATTGTTGTGGAAAGGGACTTGGAGAAGATGGATACAATAATCCTGTTGTCGTTCTCAAAATTAGACAAAGAAAAGGCTCGAGTATACGCGGCGATCTAATTTGCTACGTTGCTACCGTACGTTACAATTAATCCCCCTAATAAATACGTACTGACAACTCGCAGATTACCACTTTCAATGATTTGAATTTGGAAAATTATCTGTCGAAATGTCCACACAACTCTGAATTCCAGCAATCATTACCTATTAGTCCGATAGATCAGGATAGCTGCGTCGAAAGTACACCTTCATGGCTTCTTCGACTGCAAAAGGGAGCGCTCAAGAAACAATCCTACATTGATCTTGCTCACATTTTCAAGGTGCCTTCCAACAGCCTCTCCACATTTGGCTTCCGAAATCATCGAGCTTATAAACTTCGACTCTCAGCCACAAGCTATAACAGCCTAATGGCGGAAATGGGTCTTCGAAACGAGCCCTACGAAGAAACCGCTTCGCTTTACAAGACTGCGCGAGCACGTCTCGAGGCACTTGCTTCTCAAAATAGGCAAATTCCATCTCTAATATCAAAAACAGCAGAGGTATCATTTACCCTTCAAAATGAAATAGATATGGAGAAGAAGAAATACCCCACTACTCCCTTCCCAGTTGCCGCACCGGATTGCCCTCATGCTAAAACTGCTCCAACATCTCCTCTTCTCCCGTTAGGCCAACGAAGAAATGTCAGGTTTACCTTGAATGAGATACCTAAATCAAAGAGTCTCCTCAATGTTCCACGTGTGGCTGGTTATGGGACGGTCAACAGTCAGCAACTGCTTACTCCATATCCGATTCAGCCGCCTACTCCATTGACGGCTCGATATCATTCTTTCAGACCGTTTGTCGATCATGGATGGAAAACTGTTGCTCTGAGATTCTGCGTAGGGTGTTTAGGTCTTGGGACAGTATTTGGAGCTTTCAAGATGTTGTGGTCGGCAAAGGTTTTTCCGGTTGATTTTTGATGGGGGTTTCTATGGCATTTATTGGTTTTTATGGATGGCGCATATTTTGAGTGGGTTTAACCGTGGAGTTTGATAAGCATTGAAAGGAGTACATGGATTTCTGCTTGTGGTTTTAAATGTACGATATATTTGGAAAGACGCTGTGAGCACCCACTTGTGACATATGATAGAAGACGAGGTAGTTGATTATTTGACTACTCCACTCATCTACCGGGATATCCGTTTATTAAGAGGACGTGACCCTGACAGATTGCAGCGTTCGCACCTAAATGCAAGTTTCTGGTGCAATCTTGATCAACCTACACCCTGTGGTGGCAAAGTTAATACCTATGTACGAAAAAAATGTCAGTATAAATCCCTATACAAATATTTAATATATATATTACACAATTCAAACTTTTTTCATTCCTAACGAAATATATATTTCATTAATTACGAATCTTTCTAATTCAAAATAAGAATTATTTATTATTAACATTTAAAAAATTGAAAAAAAAATAAAGATTCTTAAAAAAAAGTAAACAGAAAGGGAGCGAATATAAAAGCTAGAAAAAGAAAAGGAATAAGCATAAAAGCTAAAGAAAAAGGGAAACAAATAGGGAAACTAAAAGGTAAGTGGAAGGTATTAGCCGAAAGTCTAAAGAAGAGTCTGTTTACAAATCACTCAGATCACTCACTTCACTTTCGATTTATTCTTTAATCAAGAGCTTTACTACTATACTATATAATACAGAATATACTATTTAAACAAGAATATCACTCAACTTTAACATATATAGTTTTATATTGAATTCGATTAGTAATCGAATTCAATATAAATAAACTTTTTTATTTGCAAATAGCTTTAGACTAAAACTTTCGAAATCCAAGAAATTTTGAAAAATCAATAAATTTCGAAAATTTTTCTAAATCCTCTTAAAATAAAATTTTCTAATTATATATATATAAAAAAGTTAATCACATTAATACTGTATGATCTTTTTTTTCAATATAATATTAATTATTGAAATTTTTAATACAATTGATGAAATAATTTATTCGTTAACTACGGATTCTGCCACCACAGGGACAGCACTCCTTCTGATTGCGTCAGTGGCATGATATAGAATTAATTGCGAAAGGTCCTTTACGTGAGTTTTATCAAGTGATATACACGAGCATGTTGAGTGGCTTATTCTAACATTAAAGGTACATGTATGCATTGTTGATTTTCGCAATCGTGAGATGGGACTGAGATACACTTTAGATTATATAACCGATATCCCTACTATGTGCACAGCCCTACTATGTACACGCTCTTATTATTTATATAAAATATAATATTAAATTGAATTAAAAATCAAAAAAGCAATGAAATCATTTGAAATTTAAAATTAAGATAATTTGAATAAATTAATATAATATTTAGGAATGAGAAATCTGAAATTGTGAAAGATTATAATAAAAAAACTAATAAATAAGATATTGAATTTTAATATAAGAAATTACTTATTTATTAATATATTTTTTAATAGAATCGAAAATATAAGTTTTATTTAAAGAAATTATAAGATTCTTTATATTATAATATGAAATAATTGAAAAAATTAAACTTTTTTATTGAAATTCTGAAATTATATTAATATTAAATTCTAATAATTTTTCAAAAGAATATTTATAAGAATTAATTATTAATATAATAATGAATTTATAATATTTGACTTTACTTTTCAATTATATAATAATGACAGATTTTAAAATCTTATATGAATCTATTAAAATCTATAATTTCCTAATATTATATTTAAATAAAGATTTGAAAATAAATATCAAGAATTTAATTTGATGTAATATTAATAATAATATAAGCTTTTGTTGATAATTATTGAAATTTTAGGTTTTATAATCTTTAAATATATATATTTCGTTTTAATATTAAAGAAGAAAGTTATATTAATTGATTTTTGATTTAATAAGAAATTTCAATATTTGAACTTTCAGGATTTATTAATATTAAAATGATTTTTATTAAGATTTTCTTTTTTTAAAAATTAATTTAATAATATTTTGAATTATAAAAACCTTTATTTTGAAATTGTTTATATTATAATAATAATTTTATTATTAGAATTTCATTATATATCATAAAAATAAGATTTAAAAGATTTTAAAAATAGAATTTTAAAAATAAAAGATTTATTTGAAAATTTTCTTTTGATTGGTTTATAATTTATATATTTTAATATTCAATATCATTTCTTTCAAAAAGATTATAATATTCAAAACTTTAATATTAAATATAAAATTTAAATTCATTTTAAAATTCATTTTTAAAAAAACTTCAAATAATAAAAATAATTAGAAAATCTAATAATCTATATTAAAATCAATTCTTATTACTTTTTTGATTTTTTTGTTTTCTTTATAAAAGCATTAATATCAAAGAATCTATTAAAATGTTTTTTAACTTTATAGATAAACTTTAATATATTTATTATTGAAAATTTATATATCAATATTATATATTCTTTTTATGTTATTATTTAATCAGTTTTTATTTTAATAATTTGAAATTTTAAAAAATCAAAATAAATAATATTATTGAATTCCTAAACTAAATTCTATCTTATTTTAATGATTTTTGAATTTTAAATTGAATTTTATTTTGATGAAAAAAATGTGCATTGTCACGGCGCCAACTACGTTGCCTTCATGCCTCAGGCATACACTATTAGTATGCCCTACTTTTTATAAAAGGGCCTTATCCTTTTATAGTTCTTTTATCTTTATAGTATAATATAAGTTTTTATTTGTATTTTGATAGTTTGTATTATCTTTTTAGAAGTTATTCTAGTTTTATTTTTATTCCAAATCTATCGAAATTCCGATTTGATTGAGTCGATTAGATTTATTACTGTTTTGCTGTTTATTCTAGTTGTTGTTGTTCTGAACTTTAGTTGTAATTATAATCGATTAGGTATTTATATTTAATCTATCCTCTCAGTTTTTGTTTTTGAATTATATTCTCAATTTTGTCGAAATCGATATCTCTTTGTTTACAGATTTATTTAACAATTCAAGTACTGTATATTTTGTAATTGTTTAGATTGTATTCGAATTGATTGAATTATATATAAATATATTCCAAACCTAAGTTATTGATGTTTAGATTAAAGTTAATGAATTAAATGATATAATTAATATATTGAAAATCGTTATTCAAAATAATTTACAAGTTTTGTATTGCTGCAAATATCTTGTTGTTTTTGAGAAATTTAATAGTAATGAATAGGATATTGTGAAGTATTAAAACTAATATATTGTATTTTGTAGTATTATTAATTGTTGTTTAATTGTAGATTATAAGAACAAATTGGAATTTCAGAAAATCATATTTCTTATCAATCTGTTTTCTGGTTTTGTTTATATAAATAATCAAATACATTTTGATGTGATTACTAATAACCTATATGATTTTGATTTTTAGTTTTCTAGATAATATATTATTATAAATATTTAAGACAAATTGAATAAGTAATATCAAACTTTTGATTTTTTTTGTAAAGCTTTTATAGATTATAATAAGTGTAAAATGAAGAAGATTTTGTTTGGTAATTTTATTATTGAATTTAAACAATTTATTATTAGATATAAAAAAACTATTAAATAACAAGTTATAAATCTTAAACTTAAGATTTTATAAAAATCAATTAATATATTTATTAATCGCCTAAATAAATCTTCTATTATTAATATTAAAACATAAATAATTTGATAATAAAATATTTATAATAATTTGAAGGAAAAAGTTTACCTCAATAACCAACAAAAAAACTAAGATATCAATTTCAATTATAATTATCTCAATAATCAATAAAAAAACCAAAATATTAACTTTAATTATAATTAATCAAAACTCTACAATAAAAAGTCGGCTATTACTATATCTCCTTTTATATCTAATTTCTTTAGCGATTTTATATAATTGGATATTATTTAATTAAACTAGTATTTTTCAATTTATTATATTTGGAAGTAATATATCGAATTCGGCCTTTGCCTTTATTGTAAGAAGCTAGGTTATATTAAAAGTAATTATAAGGAGAAATGAGTTAATAATATAAAATATAATATTAATACTAATACAAGATATACTTCTTATACTAATTGTTTCCCTATAATCAATCAATACAAAAATCCGGGATTTCATTACAACACTACTACCCCTTCATACTAGAGTTTGTTTTTATCTACCAATTATTTTTCAATTATATTATTACATTACATCTTTTCGATTCTTTTTGGTTTTATTCAAATATTTGATCTAAAAGATTATATCGAGAATTCTATTTACTCGAAAAAGAATAATAATTCGATTTCTCAGCCAGATATATTAAAAAATTGATTTCGGTTTATAATTGTAAATTGAGGTTTTTTATAGGAAATTTATTTTTATAAATTAAAAGATTTATTATATCTAGAAATCTTTTATATCTTAAATCAATAAATAGCAAATCTCTTAAAATCTCGATGGAAATCTCCCTTGTATTTAATATAATTATCCTATTTATTAGTTTTATAGATAGTAAAACTATAGATTATAGCTTTATTGATAAAAAAATCATCTCCAAGCTCTGAGTATTTATATACCCTTTCCCTCATACTCATTACCTACTTCTAGCTGATAACAAGCTTTTTGATATTCTTTCTTAATATATACTTTTAGATATATAAATTAATAATTATAAAGAAATAGGTCTATTCTATATTACTATTTTATCAATTGTAAACCCTATAATCCTTAATTTCCTATAACTCCAACATCACAATCCCACTATCAATTAGTTGATAATAATATTCAAATTTACATTTACATATTATTCAAAGTATTACTATCCCATTAACACTATAGCAACTACTATTCCCAATATAGAAAATGATTAAAAAATAACTTTATTAAAAAATAGCAAAATTATATCAAATACCCTTAAACCTCCTTTATAAAAACTTATTTCAAAGATAACCTCTATTCCTAATATAACAAATAATCAAAAAATAACTTTATTAAAAAGTAGCAAAGTTATATTCGACATCTCTGAACCTCTCCCACAAAAGCTTATTCCAAAACCAGCTTTTGTAAAAGGAATCATTAACAAAAGCTTTGAAACTACCTCATCACTATCCCAAAACCAATCTATAATCCTCAAATCTATCATTGAAACCTCAGAAATACTCAAATCAGAAATACCCGAATCTATCTCGAAGAATACTCCACTAGTTTCAATATCTTTGGAAAAGTCTAATAAAAAGTATAGTATTTAACAAGAATTAAACAATATTAAATATCTTATTACTACTGGTTTTATTCAATTTTATAAAGATCAGAATATATATATTACAAAACTAATCTGAAACGAGCTGGATATTGTTTGCAAATTGTATTAAATATTAGTGGATGATTTTATTTAGTTATATTGTGGTATTATAGAAAGCGATATTGAAAAATTTATAGAAAAGATTGATTGTCTAATATTATCTATAATCGATATTCAAAGTAGATTATTATTTTAACTGTATAACTTATATATAAGGTTTCTACCCTCACTTACTAATAAGCTTCCCCCTAAACACTTCTAGGATTATAAAATCGAATTTATATCAAATAAAGAATTGCTATATAATAAAAAATATCCAATATCCCTAGCCGAATTCTAGATTATATATAAATGGCTTGACGATAATTTGAATAAAGGATTTATCTACAAATCTTATTTCAGATTGGCTGTTTTATTTCTATTAGCTGTAAAGCCTGGTGAAGGTATTTGTATTTATCAAGACTATTATAAATTGAATAATATTATTATCAAGAATTGATATTCTCTATTATTGATTAAAGAAATTTTTAATACTTTATATTATACAAAAATCTATACCAAGTTGAATATTATTATTACATTTAATAAATTAAGGATTGTAGAAGAATATAAATGGAAAATAGCTTTTATAATTCGCTTTAGCCTTTTCAAGTCTTTAATAATATCTTTTAGTTTTTGTAATGCTTTTGTTTTATTTCAAAATTATATTAATCATGTTTTTTTCGATTTCTTGAATAGAAATTATACTATATACCTAAATAATATTTTGATTTATTTTATTAATACTACAGATTATTGAAAGTAGGTTTGTAAGGTTATATAAAGATTAATTGATATTGGTTTATAAATTGATATTGAAAAATACAAATTCGAAATTATATAAATTAAATATCTTGGATTAATTATTATATTTAATAAAATCGAAATGGATTCAAATAAAATCAAAACAATTCTTGATTAGAAGTTATTAACAAAATTAAAAAATCTTTAATGTTTTTTTGAATTTGCTAATTTCTATCAACATTTTATTTATAACTTTTCTAAGATTATAGAATTATTTAATTATTTATTAAAAAAGAAATCTATATAATAATAGACTATTAATTATAAAATTATTTTTAATAATCTAAAATAAATATTTGTTTTTGTTTTAATTCTTATTATATTCGATTACTATTATTATATAATTATTAAAATAGATATTTCTAATTAAATTATAAAAAAAATTATTTTTTAATATAATGATAAGAGTCGATTATAATTAATTATTTATTTTTTATTAAAATATAGTATAATTGAATATAATTATAAGATTTATAATAAGGAGTTACTAATAATTATTAAATCTTTAAAAAAATGGAAACCTGAGTTATATAAAATTCAGGAATTATTCAAAATTATTACTAATTATAAAAACTTGGAGTATTTTATATCGATAAAAATGTTAAACTAGAGGCAAGCAAGATAAACAGAATTCTTTTCAGAATTCAACTTTTATATTATATATTAATCGGATTATAAAGCAATTTATTCTAATATTTTTAATTAAAAAACAGAAAACCACTTTGTATATATCAATTTCAATAATAATCAAATTAAAAATTGCTTATAAATAATACTTTTAAAATAAATATTTGATATAACTATATATAGGGATTTTATTAGATAAATAAACAATATTATAAATCTTGTTGTAGCCTTTATGAATATTATTATTCCTGATATCAAAAAGTTAATTAATAATTTTATTAATAAAGTATACAATTTATTTATATTAATTATTAGTATATACAAAATGCTTCAAAATCCTATTATTTATTATTAACTATTAATAATCAAAAAAAACCTTTGGATAGCTTTTCAAGATTATAGATTGATTAACGAATGGATATTTTATTAGAATTAATTATTTATTCCCCTATCTATCAAACTCTATATACAAATTATTTATTAAATATATTCAATTAGATTTGCCGGATATTCAGATTGTATCAAAACTATTGATTTTGTTTTTTGTATATACTAATAATCTAATATAATAAAAGAAATTGAAGTTTATATATAAGCCTATTAATTGTATTTTTATATAAAATCTTCTCGTTTTGTAGTTTCCAAATTCCTTGAATTTTTATCAATTCCATTCCAATTTTGGTTTAATATTTTTATTGATTATATTATATTATTGTTAATCTATGAATATTATAATTGTAAGTATAATTATATAATTATTATCATTTATTGTTTAATAAAGATGTGTTATTTTATATTAATAATAAAGTTATCTGCAAAGGAATTTACTAATTGTTTTATTGAGAAAATCTATTGCTTATACGATGTATCCGATAATATTATATCTAATAGAAGCTTGCAATTTATATTAGTATTTTAAATATATTTTTTTGAATGCTTATTAATTATTTTAAAACAATCTTCCTCATTTTATTTTGAATCGGATAATTAAATAGAGAGATTCAATGTTATAATAAAATAATATTTATAAGCTTTTATAAACTTTTATTAGAATGATTGATATAATTGATTATTATTAGTAAAGTTTGTATTCAACAATACTATTTCAGAAATTACCAATGTATTCCTATTTTTTGCTAATTATAGTTTCTATCTACGATTTAAAATTAAACTCTTTTTATTTGTTTTATTGAATCTTTTATATTAATGAAAACACGAATTTCTGAAAACTAACAAGATTGCAAATCAGTTTGATATTATTTTAACGAAGCTGAAAGTCTTAGTTGTTTAAGCTATTTAGAAGTATAAAGATTATACGAATGAGATATATATTGATACCTTTTTATATAAAGAGGGGGATATGGTGTGGGTTAGTACTAAGAATATGAAGACTAACCGACTTATGAAGAAGGGTGATGATAAATAGGTTGGGCTTTATAAGATTCTAAAAGTTTATAAATGTGTTTGTTTATTCTAATTATTCATTATTTTTAAGATCTTTTTAGTATTCTATAATTTACTATTCAGGCCGTTTTATAGCTTAATTAAATTAACCAATTAAGCTATAATTAATAAAACAGAGTTCTATTATAATCAAAGTCGAGTTTTGGAAAGAGATAACAATATAAATAAAGAAATCAAATAATAAGAATTCAATAAATTGTTTGATTATTATAATAAGAATGAATTTCATTATCAAATCAAATAGAAATATTATTCGCTGTTGTAATAATCAATCGAGAATTTCAAAGACTAAGAGGAAACAATTATTACATTTTATTTAGTGAATCCAGATAAATCAAATCCGTCTGTATGGGTAGGATTCAAAAGGTTTGTTATTTTAAATAATCCTATACCAAATATAATTCCAAAACAAGGATAGAGTAGGTTAAGAAAAGAAGATTAATTGATTATAGGTTTTAAAAGAGTTCATTTCAATTCTATAACAGAAATCAGAGTTTTTTAATATTATTCTAAAAGATTTTAGATTCTTATTTAATCAAATTCACTATTTATTTAATTTAAATATAATAATAAACTAACCTTATAGATTAGTTCCTTATTACAACTTTACCGAAAGTTAGCAAAGTTAACCGGATTGTATTTTAGCTTGCTTGGGATAAGCAAGCCCTAAAGAAAGGGTACTATCACAGCACCAACTATATTGCCTTCATGCCTTAGGTATACACTATTAGCGTGCCCTACTTTCTATAAGAGGGCTTTACCCTTCCATAGCTTTTCTACCTTTATGGTACAATATAAGTCTTTACCTGTACCTTGACATGCATATAGTAGGGTCGTGCACGTAGCAGGGATATCGGTTAAGATAATTTTGGATTGTCATTTATAGAACAAATACTGGATTTGAAGCTTGCTGATATGATAGACTTGACAGCGATATTTCTCTCCCAAATGGTTCACTCACTACAGTGTTGAATTAACGCGAGTCCCAAGTAGGAAAGTCCTTGTCGCCATCCCCAAAGGGGGGTTTATGGCCAAACTTTTCAAAGTATTGTTGCATCTTTCCGTAGTACTGCGATTCTTCTTCACAAAACGCAAACATCTCCATTCTGTTTTTCACTCTCCCTTTATAATCACTCCATCGGTGGTAACAGGCGTGTCTCTCTGGTTCTTTTGTCCATTGGATCAGTTGATTAAAGTTTCTACACATGCGAACTTGTTCGTGCCCAATTTTGTTCGGGAAATCGTTCACTGAAGATGATTTATTAGTCGAGATTTTCCGATAGCACTTGTATAACGATCCCCTGCGATAACATCTAAAGCTGGTAGATAGGAACTTCACATCACTCACTAGGCATTGGGGTATCGTCGGCATTGCACATCATATCTTGACGGAGTGCGTCCAGACAGTGGTGGACATGACCGGCAGAACTTCCAACCTCACCACCCCGCTCATAATCGATGAAAGCTCTGCGCAGTACTTTCTGAAAGAATTTTTGATAAGCAGAGCGATATGACAAGTAGTTTTTCCAATCCTCTGGACTGCATCAAAAATTTCTTACCAGGCAATGTAACCCATGGAAAGCTTTCAAAAAGTAGATTCCTTTTGCTTCAGGATCCCATGGAAACCGAAATACTGAAAGCGGCAGTTGGTGCTCAGTTGCCCATTCGTCGTCAAGCGCCACGACCAGTGGGCTTGTATCAATACCGTCCCACATCTCATCTTGGAGGGTGTCATTTTTGCTCATATAATCTGTGTGATTGTAGTATATGAGAGGAGTGTCGTATTTAAGACGTGCTTTCATTTGATCAGTATGAACACAATGATAAATTTTGTAATGTATGCTTTTCGTGTGATAGCATTCAGCTAGTTGAATTATGAATCAAGAACGTACCGTATCTAGAGACAGCTAAGTCATTTTCTGAAGATTTTGTGTCCTCAAGCTTTGTATGATGAAGTAGAAGGAACGTGTTGCTTGATAGTAGACACAAGATGATGAACACCAGAAACTTTGTCATGGAACCAATTTGTGGTTCAATCGTACTGACTACTTGTTTTCCCATCAGAAAGCTAGATGTGGTGTTTTCTTCTGTATCCTGATTGGCTTGCAATAGATGAATTTTTGACTCCATATCTTCCATGATTGATATAATGACTGTAGGATTCACTTCCCAGTAAAAAGATGTCTAGAGCTTTTGACTTCATCGTTCAACTTCAGAAGAATCAAGTATCCTCAATCTAACGGTGCGAGCATATTTCTCGGAAATCTCGGGAAGGAGGTATTCGAAAACCTGCAGCAGTTTCTCAGGTAATGATGTTGGTTGGAACCATTGATTTCAATTTTAGATACCGGCTGTTCAATCCTCCGGACTAGAATATTGGGACTCTTCAATTACTAAACCATTTCAATATTCTAGATTTTATCGAAATCTGAACTCCTGGATGGGTTGATCGTACCCGGCGCTTCAATGTCTCTCATTTTTCGGACAGCAATTCGTCTATCAAAAACCCTGACTGGTTAGCTCCTATGGCGCTGACATTCTTCAAGCAAGATACATTACTAGTAGTGGAGAAAGATAAGAACAGACCCAATGTAGTTTGAGTGATCCCGCTGCATCTCTCAAAAGTGTGGTGAAAAGCTGCAGTTGGCTGTTCAATATTTGGCCAACTGACCATGAACATGTACGTGGGCAATGCTACATTGATACACAGCCTTTACATGCAATGCAACCTTCCTTCTCGGATAAGGTATGCATGAAGGACCAAAGAAAGCTTATCTCTGCGCAGAGGAGGTGCCGAGGCTATGTTCCTCTAATATTATTTCCGTAGTAATAAGGTAAATCGAGATGCCCTATAACAAGCTCCAGGTCAGATCTCTTCGAAACAAATTCTTGAGCCGTTGGTATCAACGAACTGGCATTCTTTGCATAATACCATCCATAAAATCAAAGTAAGCTTTTTTTATTTATGTAGGATACCTCATAGTTGAAAATGCTTACGTTCCTAGCGACCACACTGATCTAGCAATTCCAACACTACACCATGCGCCTTTCACAAACTCTTCAGTTCGTTGCTGTTATGTTTGTCATTGGTACCTCCTGTTTGGCGATCAAAACTAAAGATATGATACGAGAAAATACATTGAAAATTGGCATCATCACAGATGAAGTGCTTGGAGATATTGAATGAGAAACGTCCTTGATAGTTCTTCACGAGGAAGGTAAGAATTGTCATGAGGAATATACATCAAATTTCTTTCCACAGCTGATGCATCTGAAGTGTTTTCTCGAGTAGATATATGGATACTGACAGTGGAATTTGGGGGTTTGCTGCTGAGGGATCAGGTATTTGGTCGTTTAAGATTTGTTTTGAGTTGATCTTTTGAGATTCATATGGTCTATGCCAAGTCAACAGTATTGCCAATATTAAGAACCTTAGCAATGATACTCTGTATCGTTTGATGTCGTGAGACTCTAGAATCATGAGACTGATGTTCCAAACAATCATTTTTCCACACAACTTTTCCATTATCCAGACAGGGCAGGAAATTATTTGCGGTGTATTCAAGGGAAGTATCGTACGGCAAGCTGTAGAAACCAGTGAAGATGAAAGTCTGTTCAGCCACATTCAGCATTGATTGATATATACTGAAGTCGATTTACATGATTAATTGGCTCTAAAACGGCCGCAGGACCGATAGTTCTTCCCAAGCATCGAATATGAAAACTTCTGCGAACATCTCACAAGGGCTGCCATGGGCGAGTCCGTTCACCTTCCTGCACGATGCCATTAAGCGGTCTCCACACTGAAAGGTAGGGTTGTTAGAAGTTTGACATTTCAAATAGAACTCTCTTGACGAAGGGGGGGCTGGGGGGGGGGAATGGGGGGGGGGGGGGGGGGGTTGGATCGATAAGCCGATTATTCAAACTTACTTGCATACCATGGAGGCATTTTGAGGTCATGAGCAAGCTTGTTCCACAAATCCGACTTGTTGGAAGGAATGAACAGATCAAGTTTCATCACAACTCGATATCCCCACTTCTCGTACAAATGCCTACCGAGCTCATTAGCTTCAATGAAACCTTCTATCCCCATTTCGTCGATTCTAGTATTGGCCCATTCCATCATCAGTCCACCAACACCACGAGACCTGTGATCTGGGTGTACGACCATCATGTATAGTCCTAGATAACAGGCTGTTAAGAGTAAACCTCAAGATTATAAGGTGGTATGACAACTCACCAGCATTTCTATCATGCATCCATAAGCTCCTTGGCGTCATGGACTGCCTTATCATCTCTTCGCAAAACTCCCTCGCCTCTCCCTCTGGCCACCAGTATACACTAGGCGTCGGAATACCATCTGGAAATTGATTTCCATCATGCCATTTCCATAAGCAGCCACCGACAATTTTCAAGCTTTCTTTTTCTTCGACAATTATCCAGTGATTGGTCGCAGGATTCGCGGCCAGATGCTCTTTCCACAATCGTTCTTTGGATGCAGCAACCCCTGCAGATCGTTCTTCTAGTGAGTAGCCGGCTACGGGGAAAAAGATCGAGCTTGATGGCATGTATGGAGAATATTGAGCTTTGAAGATAACTTCAACTACCGCGTCGAGCTGCTCCCTCGTTTGGAGTCTCCTCAATGTGTAATCTGACATGATCTATTGTTAAGACTCAATTAAAAGAAAGAATCGAAGGGCAATAAAAAAAAGAGGTGGACATTTCTCACAGCTAAGAGAAAAGTATTCCTGAGGTGCATCTGTTCGTATCTATTAGTGCAACGGGTTCATAGGCTTTGTTTTCCGGTCAGCCCTAGGTCATCGAGGTCATGTATTTTTTGGCCCGTGCCGCCCCCGCAATAAATTGGTTCTATGCACGCCAAAAAGAAGCCAATTTATCAAGGTTATTGTCACTCAGGACCTACACTTAGTATCAAAATCCATGTGCCTGTCTTATCTATCAAGAGACAGCACACACAGCTGGCCAATCCATTTGCAATACTGGAGATATCACTGTTGCACAATGTAGAGAAATCGTACGACAATCATCTTTATGGAACACACTGTTAACTTCTTGCACATGCTCTCATATAACTTTCCATCCGAGGCAAAAGTATTACTACCTTCCATCTTTAGTTGCGAGATACTTATCAAAATCATAGATAGTAACCTTATTGAACTGTGTTGATTCGTTCAAATTAAGCGACAATTTACGCCTCATTTGACCCCTGTGGGATTGAACGGGCTGACCAATGCCCGGATCGAATGATATCTTCAGCCCTGGTATGTATTTGCATCACAACTCAAAATTCATGTCCAGCTTTATCGATATTACTACCATACTCTTTTGCAGGATGGTCAGCAAAATTTATATCGGGAATCCTGTAGAAAATTGTCTAATGATCGTTCCAAAAACACTCGAGTATTCCAGGGCTATGGCGTAAGCTTATTATGCCTTCATTAGGGGCTCAGATGGGATATTTTGTATGCTATATCCGCGCATTTTGTACTAGAAAAATACTTTCCAACTTCTTCCACAATTTTTATCATACCAAAACTTGTGCATTTGGTTGGCTATGGCTCATGACCAAGATCCGGGCTATGTACTTGCAGCGGGTGCTACATTTCTAGTCTTGTGTATTGTATTCGTGTTTTTGCGAATCTTGACGCGATATCTGCAAAAGACTAGGTTGGGCTTAGATGACTGGTTGACTATTCCGGCTCTTGTTAGTTCGTCCCTCATTCAACTCCTCTCACTACTGTTTGCCGTCCCCAAAAGTGGTACTTATCAATGCAAAACTTTAGTTAATGGTGATTGGTTGCTCATTGGTTTTAATCATTGGTATGTTTTGACATCAAGTATCTCATCTTCGGTGTTAACCAAGATTCAGGTGTTGAAAAGAAAGTTCTCGCATACCCTACTCCGCCACCCACAGATCTTGAACACTCTAATGACGAACAAAGCTTTAGCTTTACAACTGTGGAAAAGGTTTGAAATCGATGTCCTGACCTTTTTTTTAAAACATTAAAAATACTAACGGTGAACAAGCTAGAATGGGCTTTCTTCCTCATGCAAATTTTGTCCATGGGCTTTACCAAGCTTAGTTTCATATTTTTCTTCAGAAGAATATTTTTGACTGGGCATCGATCCCATTTCTCAATAGTATCTGCTTGTATTCTGATGGTTGTTGTATTATGGTGCTTGGCATTCTTTTTTTGGTTCCTTCTATCTTGCGGCAATAAGTTTGCTACTAGATGGACCACAATCAACACACTTCACCACAACTGCCCAAGTGACATTCAGAGCGATCTTGCGCTTGCTATTTCCGACTTTTTGACGGATGTCATGATACTGGGTCTTCCTATTCCAATGGTATGGCTCTCCAACCTTCCTGCAAATCTAAGAAGATCACATATTGACGTGCTGGCGGTTTAGGTCCTGAGACTGCAAATGTCAACCGGTAGAAAGGTTGCGGTCTTAGCAGTCTTTGGGCTAGGGTCTATGTGAGCCATTCCTTGAAACATGTTTCGATTTCTTCCTAGGAAAGCATGATTGATTGATGACCGCAACAGAGCTCTCGTCGCATCCATTGTTCGGCTGGCTTTGTTCGTCAACATCACTGGCAGTAAGTCTATGATTCAATATCTTAAGTGCTTGGTTATGCAAACCTCTGTCAAATAGTCACACTAACATAGAGCTTTGCAGTTGCATCGGGCAAGATTAAGGATCCTAATGCAGATAATGATTGTGGGTCCCCAAGAAACCTAACTTTTTTTCGGGAATCGGGACAACTAATACGTATATGTAAATGTAGTACTGACAACGCGTTCTCTATTCTGGTCGATGTTAGAGTCGGGTCTTGCACTTGTGGCATGTTGCTTGCCCTCTCTGAACTCCTTGGCTGGGCTACCTGCATTTCGTTCAATGATTGACAGTCTTCGAAGTATTGCTAGTCTTCATTCATCATCTGAACATTACAAAATAAGCCAAGGGAATGACAACTCCCAGCTCAAAGCTGAAGATCCATCCTCAGCTTCCCGAAAAGCTCTAGTGCCAGAATCTGCTGATTTCGCCGAGATCGAGACATATGCCATGGGTGATGTACCAAAGATTCATCATGGAAAAAGTTCTGGAGAAGACGTCATTTGGGTTGATAAAGTTGTAGAGCAGCGGAATCATATTGTGTAAAATAATAGCGAACTTTTAAACGAACCATAGTCTAGAAATTCGTTGGATGTTGAGAAGTATGGGCCGTCCTCTTCCTAGGTAGATTCGTGATAGAGAAAATGAACTATAAGAATTTGGCAATCTTAGATTTGTCCAAAGACAAGGACATTATGTGCAAGGCTCTGAATACAGTAATTTGTATTCTTCCTGATGAAGACTAACTTGATGATTGGTGCTTACCCCCTTGCTCACTCTTCTTTGTGCCGCAGACATACAGAACGATGTGGGGCTACATGGTGGCAGCCGGCACTTGAGTCTTGTCACCAATAAATAATTGCAGATAAGATCCCATTCTGCTCCTATCTAACAATTTGAAAGACCAATTTCTTTTAGCTCGGTTCTGCATCATGAAGGAAGAAAATGAGAAGGCCGAACATCTGAATGACGCAAGGGTTGGTACTACCACTGCAATCGTACCAGAAGTGCCTGCCCCTGAAACCACACTACTTTCTAGCATCGTCGAAGCTACTGTCGACTATGAAGGACCCCACGATGCTTCAAACCCAAGAAATTGGTCGAAAGCTTATAAATGGAGTCTAATGCTTATAATAAGTGCACTTTCTATGACAACGTAAATTGCTCCACCTGGAACTTCATTCAACCATTTAGTTTTACTAACAAGTTAATCTAGAAATCTCACTGTGCTTATTTGCGCTCCTGCCATACCACAAATCCTGGAAGAATTTCGTTCTGCCAGTGTACTTAACGCTACCCTGATCCTAACAATATGGAACCTAGGAGCTGCTGTTGGCTGTCTATTTATGGGCCCTCTGAGTGAGATGTACGGACGCAGACCAGTCTATAACTTGGCAAACCTCTTGTTTCTCCTCTGTATAATAGCGGAAACCCAAAGCAAGAATGTTGCTATGGTTATTGTTTTTCGATGTCTCGGTGGAGTCAGTACGGCCACGACAGCTCTCAATCCAACTATTGTGGGAGATGTGTTTAATGTTGAAGAGAGAGGAGGTGCTCAGTCTTTACTTTCCCTGATGCCCCTGATAGGTCCTGCGATTGGACCTATATTCGGGGGTTATATAGCTCAGACAGAGGGTTGGAGATGGACCTTTGGTCTAGCTGGTATCACTTCTGGAACATTAAGCATTCTGTTCTTTCTGATCTACCGTGAGAGCTACGATGCAACAATTCTTAGGCGCAAAGCAGCAAAGATGCGCAAGGAGTTCAATGACCCATCAATTCATTCTCGATATGATGAGCAGGGCTCGAAGATAAGTTCAATCGTGAACGCACTCGTGAGACCAATCAAGATATTGGTCGCTCCTATCTTTGCATTGTTGATTTTCTCCATGTGTTTACTCTCTTCGTATGTATATCTGTTAGCATCAACAATCACAGAAGTGTTTCAGACAAATTATGGGTTCTCAGAGGGTGAAGCGGGACTCGCATTTCTTGGGCTAGCCATAGGTATGGCATTAGGCGCAATTCTTTGTTCTGCGGTGCTAGATTGGTATACAAAAAAAATGAAAGTCCTCCATGGCGGCGAGATCAAACCAGAATGGCGCCTTCCTCCGATGACCCTGGGATTCGTAATTGCCCCAATAGGTTTAATCACATACGGATGGACGGCTTATTTTCACGTACACTACATAGTTCCCGTATTTGGAACTGCTCTATGTGGCTTTGCGACCTACACTACAGTAGTCCCTACTACAGTGTATTTGGTCGATATATCAGGAATTTTTCGCGGTTCAGCCATGTCTGCAATGACTATGTCTCGCAATATAATGTCCACCATTTTACCGCTGGCTGGACCACCGCTATATCGATCCCTAGGTTTAGGTTGGGGGAACTCTGTTCTGGCTTTTATTGCTTTATCGTTTGCTCCTCTGCCATTCATTTTGCTTAGGTACGGAGAACGTATTCGGAGCAAATCGCGACTTGAAGACTGGATGTGAGACCCGAGCTTAGCAATCAAAGTCTGGAATAAGGTAGTGGCAGGCGTACCTAGAATTGTTCCTCAAAAGAGGAAGATAATACAAGGGCAAACCTCGCCATGGGGGATGGGGGAAGGGGGTGGGGTTCATGCTTGTGGATAAGCATCATCAGCCGTCAAAGATCAGTATTTGGTCTGGGAGAAACATTTTCTAGTTCTTGACTGAGCCTTTATTAATCTAGTACTTTTTGAAATGCTTTTATGTACCAATGTCAGGCGATACAAGAATCTATTTTACCAAGGCGCACTTGGCTGTGTTGAGATATACGTGAATGCTTGCTGCACAGTAGTCAAACCTGATTCTCACTTTATATAGCTTTAAACTGAGGATGATCGTGGAATTTACATAGGAAAACATTCACATGCTTCCAGTAAAGCTTAAAAGTGAGCCTGAAACATCAGAAGGTGTAAAGCTTCTCGGTCATAAGTGATTTAGTAGATGATTGAGCTGAGATAAACTCAAGGTCACCATTGAGGGCTTCTTTCACTTTCAATACCTACTCAGAGTCAGGCTAAACAAGGCTGCATAGTTTGTAGAGTACACAGCTATATTACCAGTCAAATTTCGAAGGAATGGATATCTCTCGGTGTATTTGATAGCGCGCTCACGTCATCGCTGCCGTTTCTAGAACGTGGCCCATTCGTTCAAGTTCGAGGCTGAACCTTCTACAGCGAAAAGAATCTAGGGGGAACAATTGTGAAAACGACTGCATTTAATTCGTATAAACCCGATTCTCTAAGCCGCTTGCTTCTATGTAAATTCTCTGTCTCAAATAATTCCAAGCCACTGACGCGATTGGGCAGATAGATCAAAATCTATAGACTTTCCGATATTTCAGTAAAGCATCTTACCAAAAATCAGGACAACAAAGCGTCAAAGTTCAGAACACTGAAGTTTATACAATCCGCATCGTACGTGGCAAATGGTCCAGCTGTATATATCAGTAGTCTCAATCTTGTGTATGTATTTTAAAGGTTTGCTGGATGATGACCAGCTGCTCAGCTTGAATTGGCAGATGACTTTCAAGCAATCCACTGTCGAAAACTATATAAATTCCCTTCAATTTCAGTTTACCTGCAAAGTAGGTGCATTGATAGTCTCTTTACGGCAAGCATAGCATTCTTTGCGGGAAATTCACTTGTCATCGTTCGCTAAAATTTCCAATAGCGGTTTGTGGTGGGGGAAGATCTGTGTATTGAAAAAATCTTTCTCGGCTATTGATCTTTTACAAGTGAACGCCTCGCTTAGTCAATCTAAGTATGAAATTCTGACATTTTCATTCACTTAAATTGATCACCTCTGATAGACTAGGGCTTCTTTTGCGAAATGACTCCACAGAATTTGACTGGGGCAATAGACGAAGATAGTCTAAGATGCATAAGCAATTTCATGAGCTGCAGTGAAACTGTAGATTGGAAAGTAGATCCAGTGAATGTATCAATTGAAAGACAAACTTCTAGGAACCATGGGCACGCCCTGATTTGCTTGAAAGATTGCTTGAAAGATCTAAGCAAGCCAACAAGCCTTCCTGCCGATAAAGAAGTAGCAGGAGGCACACTTATCTTTATAGTCCTTATATATAGCAAACAACGACCTCTTTGACCAATAGCCTAAACTCCTTGTCTAAAAATGGGACTTCCTCAGACCTTTCTAAGAACCAAAAATCTAGAGGTAAATCAAAAGTGAAGGGTTCGCTAATTCACCAAAAAAACGACAACAATAAATATTCACTCAATCTCGTTTGTACAGCAGCTACGCACTGTAGCGATTTGACGATGTTCATTCACTACAGTAGAGTCCTTTCGAGGATGCTAAACATTTTCTCATCTTAAAAGTCATCGACTTCTCCGACTTGCCAACAACCATTTTCAAATCATCTTCTTCCATCAATGTCAGAATTGCAAAGATCTTGGAAGCTCTCTTGTTACTTCCAACCTCAAAAGAACATTTTCTTTCTCTATCAAACCAAATCTCGATCGCTTGCCAACCACTTAGATTCTCAAACTGATCAAGATGGCTGACCAAGAGAACAAACCTCCCAGTCATTGGGCGGAGAATTATGGGGAGAACTCACTACCGATGATGCCATACTCTCCAAATCCACAGCTTCAGAATGGAATCACGGACGACAGCACGCAAAGAACTCAAGACGCGGTTGTTCCTCCAGCTCCCAGAGTTGACCAAATGCTCACCCCTGTCCACAGCCCATATCGAAATGGTGACTGTTTTGGTAACTATTCTCACAACAGAGATATGCCGGCGTCTCTACAACATGGATATGACCATCCATCTATGCCTTTCCGCTTGCAAAAATATAACGGCACTCATCCGAATCATGTGCGAGAACACCAAGGCACGAACACTACCCAACACAACGCATTTGTGGGAGTGAGCAGCCCTCTGAATCCGTTTGCTCCTATGCCAAAGGTGAGCAGCCACAATCCAGGCCGTATACTTAATCCAGCTGCGCAAGAGTATACAAATTACAGCAATCCCGTGCCGCAGGTTCATAGCGCGTCACAAGGGTATAGGCCGTTTAATAATGGTTTCCGAACATCTGTATCAGGTACTGCTAGACAACAAGCAATACCCCAATACAACAGTCCTTTGCATGTGACCACACCAGTTGCATCGCATTCGTATGGAGGTACTAGAACGCCAAACTCTAGCCAGTATCCGTCGACTGCCCAGGTCAGTGATAGACCAGGTCAGGGCTTGACACATTCCCAAGTTCTAGGGAAACCACAATGGAGAGTCAAAGGCTCTCCGTTACCACGATCAACACCAGCAGGCAAATCTGACAGCAGTGGCATTGCCACTCCTGAAAATGACGATATTGCCATCCAACGAAAGCCAGCCATGGTACCTAAGACGTACCCTCTGCATGCCGAGCATCTAATGCCTGGGTGCATTGTATGGCTGTCAAACTACCAAGAAGGACATGAACCAATTGTATGTGTCCAGAACCATGAGTGTAACGACAAGGTGAAAGAAAAGGATGGCCATAATCACCCGGTAATGATCCTGAGGATTAACCAGCGTCGTGGTTCCAACATTGTTGGTGACGTCATACTTGACGTTGCACTGGTAAGTCTTCACTAATTTTCTTTCTCATCTTGACCCCTCGTTCCAATTCTCGTCTGTAAAAATCAGATAGACTATACCATTTGCTCCTGTCCTTCCATTGTTCTATCTGCATTTGCAGAACTTCTAAATCACCATGCCCAAATGTTTTAATAAGTATGTTACTAACAGCTGATCCAATTAGATGACAACTCTCGGTGGTCTAACTTTGGACCAGTACGTCAACAAGCTGCGTACACTTGGACCAGACCCTTCAAAACAATGGTATTTTCAAGAGACGATGCCATTGTCTTGGATTCCAATACGAACACCCCAGCAGAAGGGTGACAAGCTTGACGCAGTGCAGAAGCACGAGCAGAACCAAGAGTCGCAGCACCATGCTGAGTTGAATCAGCGCGGCAAAACCTTGTTGTATCTCTCGCGGGGTAGCATGCAGAGACGGTCGTACATGCGTGTTCATCACATCTACGCCGTCCCCATCAAGCAACTGCAAGCTTGCAGCCGGTACGCCAAGCTTGCCCACATGGTCCGCTTGGACGAGGCTGGATACCGGAAAGTGATGGAGGTCTTGAAACTGGTACCCGAACCTTGGGAATCCAGTGTCGAGAGAAGCGTTGCGGCTGCTCCGCAACGCCTTAGAAACCTTCGAGACGAGGAGATGGCACAATTCAATGCCATTCAATTGGCTGAAAGCCAAGCTCGTCAAGATGAAGCTGTCATGCAGCAAGGCCCGAACGTCGCACGGGAAAGCCCATTGGGTGATTTCACTGACGTTGAGGCCGAGGGTCACGAGTTCTATTGAGGTACTCGTGACTCAAATTCTTGGATATATGAAGTTCTTTTGCCTTTCACTTGTTCACACTTGTGGAACCCAGAGAACAACTTTCGCAAACATACAATACTTATACGCACACACATGGTGTTGAGGGGAGAGATTCAGCTTTCTTGATGCAAGTCAGATTAGCGGGTAGAAATTAACGAGTTATTAAAAGGATCGGGTAGATGGGTAGAGCGGCGATGTTCAATTCACTCTTTGGAGTTTGAATCAGCAAAATCCTGGATATTTGATATAATGACAATTGGCAAACAAATTGAGGTTCTATTTTTTTTGACGGGAAATATTATGGAGATGTTATGGTTGGCGTCTAGACAGGTTACTATGGACGAGAGACGATGATAGGAACTGAGCGATCCACTGTATAAAAGTCGAATAATCTTATTTCATCCTTCTGAGAATCTCGTGCATTATGATTGAATTGAAGCTTTGTGCACGTTACGCTAACAGTCAGACCGATTTTAAATCTGGAAGGCAACGTGATTGGACACACCTGATGAACCCACGTGATATCAACTTCTGAAATCATCAGTTTCCATAGACGACCCTTCCCGTCTGTCCTCATTATTTCCCTTCAGTCTCATTTGATCTTCTGTTCGATAGTAAGCCTCACCTTTCACTCACTATTCCCACCCCCTTTGAAAATCTCACAGACTGAATGAACCCCACCAACCCCTCTCGACCCACAAAACCAAAGCAAAACACCACAAAGCTACTGCAACTCCCAACACACGAGCGACATGACTCACCTAACAAAGTATAAGATGAGGCTGGAACCGTTTCCCAGACTTTTAGATTGGTCTGGTCGTGCCGTTTCCTGCTAAGGATTTTCAGACGTGCGACTAATGCAAGAGCTCGAGATTCCCCACAAATACCTCCACACAAATGATGCCACGCATCAGACGACAATTCATCAGGGCTCTCCCGTCATGGACACGAACGCGTTGGGAGCCACGTCTTTCCAGATTCCATGATCAAGAAAGAGGGCAGATAATCTTCGACATACTAGTATGGATTGTGCATTTGGGGCGAATATTTGATGCAATGTGCGTCATTTTAGAACGTTGTTCGAATCATGTAGCCAACAGTCATGGTAAAAGCTCTGATTTATATGATATGGATATCATAGGACCAATCATTGGGGAGAGTGTTTCGTACTTACAATGAAATGATACCTGATATGCTGTCAACTTGAACATCACTATTCTATTGAACCCAGGAGTCACGTAAAATTCTGATGCCAAGAACTTGGGAAAATCTAGTAATTTCAACCTAAAGTGACTGAAAGACGACTGCTGGTACTAAGTATCAGACTATCGCAACTCAGGGGTATCACCGAACAAGAAGCCATTCATGGATTCTGGATATCTCGCACCACCAATCTGGACCTTCTCAATAGCTGTCCTAATCTCTCTCTCCTCTTGTCTGCTAAGTTGCACATGCAAAGCCTCCATATTTTCTTCCAAATACTTGATTTTCTTTGTACCCGGAATCGAAATAATGTCATCACCTTGGGCAGCTAACCATGCTAATGAGAGTTGTCCTGGTGTAACACCTTTCTCAGATGCGATCTTTGCCAGCTCCTTCACGAGCACGAGATTCTTTGGGAAATTCTCTTGGGAGAAACGAGGGGCGCTGAGACGGAAATCGTTAGGTTCAAAGTCAGCTCTGGATTTAATTTGGCCTGTAAGAAAACCACTAGTGATAGGTTAGCATGTTAAATGTAATTATGAGGACTGCTTTGATTGAGGTCATACCGGCCAAGAGGTGAATAGGCAACGATGGCAATGCCAAGCTGGCGACAAGTCTTCAAGACTTCGTTCTGTTCAATATCCAAAGAAAATGGAGAATATTCTACTTGCACGGCGTCGATATGGTGTACTTTCTCTGCACGGCGAATGGTCTTTGGACTGACTTCAGAGAGCCCTAGATATCTGATCTTTCCCTCTCTATTGGCACAATTATCAGCACGAATACAACAACGTATTTTGGTGGTTGCGGCTTACCTCTTCAACTCAGCCATAGCCTCTACTGTCTTTTCGATGGGAGTCTTTCTATCTACTCTATGGCAGTAGTATAGATCGATGGTTTGAACACCGAGTCTTTGTAAACTCTTCGCACACGCAGCCTTAACGTATTCCGGACTGGTATCACAAGTACGAGTTCCATCTTCATTTGTTTTGAAGGCAAACTTGGAGGCTAAGAATATCTGATCCCGCTTTCCTGTGCGTTTGAACCATTTTCCAAGTAGATCTTCGGAGTCGGCATACATGTCTGCGGTGTCCCAGTTGGTCTGTCCAAGTTCGTAAGCGCGATCGAGGACCTTGAAGCGTTCTTCATCGGATTCGGTGCTGCCACTGATGGAGAGTTAGATAGGTTCATCCAAATGAAGACACTATACTGCGTGAAGCCACTGTATGAAGAAGGGTCCGTGGGACTCACTAGAAAGCACTTAAGCCCATGGTTCCGAAGCCTTGGGCGACTACTTCAGGGCCATATCTGCCCAATTTACGAGTTGGAAGTCGAGGCATTTTGGATATTTGTATGTGATGTTATCTGTATTTTCTTCGAAGTGAACAGTTTTTCGATCGAGAAGGTAAGAGACCCTTAAGGTGGGCACCTCTGCTCTCTTTATACGTATCCCCTCGTTCGTCCCATGTCTCCGTTTTCGTCACCTAACTCCATTCCAAGGCTAAACCCCACCATAAGCGTCGGAATCACATGCAGAATTACATAATCTTCGACCAAACATCGTTGTCCATGTATGCAAAGCTCTATTAACGACGACAATGATCTTCATTCGATTTGGTTTGGTGGGTTTGGTGGTGATGTGGTGATAGGTATGAGGTGATGACGATTTAAAGTTTTAGCGTACATATTTTTAGTGGTGTCTCCTCGGAAGAGCCCCTGTAATAAGTACGGATAATTACCCCACCTGGATTCTGGGTCAAGCACATTAATAGATTTCAAAGCATGTGAATTTCGAATCACACAAATCACATACACGACCACACCAATCGGAGCAAATAAGGTTAATGTGATGAGTTGATTGTTATAGAAGGGTTCTATCTCCACGACTTAGTCAGAGGTACAGCCCAGATAATAATTGACGCCTCCCACTTAAAGCCAGAAAACCTCAATAATACATACATGTGTGAAGGCTTCATGGCCTAGCCTTACTCTGCAAGTTTCTAGAGTGACTGCGGAAGTTTGGAACGACAAAAAGAAAGCTATGATAAATTGCCCAGAAGTCCTTGAGTATTTTCTAAGTCTTCCGGCTCTGGGGTGCGGCTAGGTTTCCTTGAGGGGTGACCAGAGAAAATACAAATATTCTTTGCTTTGCACTCTGCAATAAGGTTCAGAAAGAAAGGGGCTTTCTCGCTCATTTCGCAATGTTTCTGACAATCTTTACAATCATATGTGGAATTAGCATCGTCCCAAATCAATTCAATCTGTCGCATCTTGGGAACATATATTTCCTTTTTGGCGACGAGTTCATAAAATTGTTCCAAGCTAACAAAATCGTATTGATCATAAAACGGTTTGCATACAAGAATCCTCAATCCGGGCGGCAAGGAATTGATCAACCGAAATTCATCCTCAATTGTGTTTACACTCGACCATATTGAAGGAGATGGCGAAAGCTTTGCAACCTGCAGTCGTTTGAATTGAGAGAATGAGAGGGGCTGATCATCTGGTAAACGACAAACATTGCTGATGTCGACGTATTTTAATGAGTGTTTCGAAGATGTTAATCCTTTCAAAATATCGTCAACATATGGATGTAATCCATCGAAAGGATACACGATGTCGGTACCTCCACTCAAATAGAATCTTTGAATGCCCGTGAAACGCCCAAGGAAAGTGGCAATGCCATCGCTGAACCAGCATAAAATGAAGCTCAAACTCTCGATGTTGGGTATCGGTTCTATGCATTTTACCCTACGGCTGTTCATCCAGTAGCAATGCCACATCAAGACAACCTTGAATCTTTTCACAGATCTTAAATTCATAAGTGGCACGATGCAATCCAATGCTGTTCTTTCATGGTGAAAATCGGGTGAAATTGTTATGCTTTCTAAATTTGCAAGCACCCTCAGAGGAGCGCTGTCTGGAGATTCAGTTCGCTGGTCTCTTGCGAGTCGAGCAATGAAGTTACTGAATGTAGAGACTTCGTAATGAGCTCCCTTATAATATATTCCCTGCCGAGTGCGCTCTTCTCCCAATGAGGGAAGTCCCAGCACCCTTAATTTTGGAACGAGGCAAAGGAGTACTGATATCAAAGCCCAACATGATATATCCATCAAAACACCGCGTGCCCAGTTAATGATATCCCAAGAAGACGACTTGTTTTGCACCGAAATAGCCTTTTGGAACAGATCAAGCGAAGTTGTCTTCCAGAGGAGTACTCGACTCAACTCATTTAAGTCAAAGCAGCGTAGGTCGAGCCAACGGATGCTGGGTCCAATCACAGATTTTTTAAGAATAGTATTGATCAGTATCTTCAACGATTTCCGATTCCTCACAGTACAGTGATAGTATAGCAACTCAATGCATGCAGCATAGAATTGACTGGAGCATTGTGCTAGCTTTGCAAGGGAATCTCTAGGTAAACATATTCCAATACCAATGATGATCTCCTCCGGTAAGCCATCAAGTGTTGGAGGCATGTTGTTGTGCGGTGAGGGATCTTCGCTAAACAAAATGATATCGAAAGGGAGGTTTTGCAATGGATGTATGTTTTTTTTGTTATTCTATCATTGAAGTAATGATCGAATCACTTAAGGTGGCAAATCTTGTTTAGTCCAGCCGTGCCTACCAAAAAGAACATTATCATAGTAAGGGCAGGAGCAAAAGAGTGACCTCCTCTTCGTTTCTGAATGAGGAGATCGCAGTTTCCTTTCATTGCGAGGAATAAACAAACATGAAGGCTTTGAAAAGTCTTTCGAAGGAACCGTTCTTAACAGTTTCCAGTCGTATTTCAAGAAACACTGACAGATTCAATGGGTAGGGTATTGTACTTGGAACTGAAACGCTAGGCACAAGCTCTGCACCTTTGAAAGCGATATAATATCTATGAAAATTCGGGATACTGTTTGCTTGAATCGATCTATTGGAAGCCTCTGATGATTGAACGGCAGTTTAGTTGGTTCCAAGACAACAAAAGGTTTCGATAACTGACTTGAGGGGATTGTGAATTTTGAAGGACTTCACATATACCGAGTAGAAGCGAGTCACAGAATTGAGACACCAGGGCTACACATAATTCATGATATTAAAATTTGCAAGCTCAGACTATAAAAAGTTTCCAAATTCACGGGATTTGTTCGTTCCTAACGTAACAATTGAATTTCACTCTTAATCTTCCACCGTTTGTACCATTGGAAGCGACATTGGTCTTCACGAAACTTTCAGAGTAATCCCATTCTCCTGACACTCAGCTGAGAGCTCCGCTAAGAAGGGGTGGCGTTGGTATAGTCCACATTCTGTATGGCTTGCGAAGGAGTGAGAATCGTGCCCAGGAAAATATTTGAGATGAAGCTCCTTCAAACTTGTCGTGCCCTCCTTCATTTCTTCCACCAGCCTTTTCATGGGCTGTATTATACTCTTTAGACTACACACGGCTGTTCCTTTGCAATTGAGTTTTAGCGAATGCAGTTTATGAGGAAATACACGGTTCAAAGCCGAGCCTAAAATTGGTGACATGGCAACGTTTGTAGCCGGCAGAAAAGTCCAAACGCTAATCTCCAATACCGTGAGAGCCGAGAAGTCTCGTAGGACCGAAAAATCCGAGCTTCTCTGTGCATGAGTACCTAGAATCACTCTCAAGTCTCTCAAAGTATGCTTGAGATGAGACAGTCCTTCAATAATCTTCCCAAAATCAACGTTGTACTCATCTTCTTCACCATAAAGCTGCCATGGATGTGCGTCGAAATGCAATGATTCCAAGACTTTTAAACTTTTTAGGAATGGGATGAGATATCTGGAAGAGATGTTGGTGGCAGTAATATTTAATCGTAGTAATGTCCAGTTCTCCATGAATTTTGCGTAGTTCGATCTGTTCGGTCTACTCGGCCTTCTCGGAATAATTAAAAAGCGCAAAGTGAGTGTCTGTAGCATCGAGAGCTGAAGGAATATCTGTATTGATCCGCTCTCATAGGATCCCTCGAGAGTTAGATTGTGCAGAGCACTCATTGGACCCTTGAACAGTTCATTTCGCGTCTCGGGTTGCGAAGCGACCAAAGCAGCATAACAAAAAGATCGAAAATCTAGTCGTGCTTGTGGAGCAGCAAAACTAGGAAAGGAGATCTTCTCTAGTCCAGGGAGTAAGTTTAAAGATAAAGCTGTCAAATGCCAGAAAGACTTCTTTTTCTTTTTCGAATAAATCATAGCCTCCAATAAACAGTCATGCCATGGCTTTTTGGGCCCCAAACAAGCTGTGTCTCTGTGTATACAGTCAATGTATCCCCACATGTCCCATATGATTCTGATTAAAACACAAGGAGGGACATGCTCATCTGTATGATCTACCGGCTCTACAAAATAGCATATCCGCTCGGTGTCTCGATCATAAGGACCATGATGATCATCGAAATAGGTCAGGTCTAGAGAATACACCAAAATCGCGAGCTCCCAACGATTGGCGATAGTTTTTATGAATAGTTCCAAAATCTCTGGACCCGTTATTATAACATCGCGGTACAAGCTTGAAATAGAAGCTTTGTAAAGATGTCTTGAGCACCTGTTAAGAGATAGTGTTGGATGGGAATACACATTGCAATAGTGTTCTTCCATCAGCTTCTGTATGATTTTGGCAAGGATCTCATTTGGAAGGCTTTCCAAAGGCATTGCGTGATTACTGTGTTGCTTTGGAGAGGTCTGAACTTTTAGTTATGCTGGGTAGAAATATTGTTGTAAGAATTTTTCGACATCAAGCATATAATTTGCAAAGGCCTGTGAGATGATAGCGAAAAAGCGTGTAGACAATACTTCTGCAATTGAATCATGAATACAGATATTAGATGTCGGTTTCATTACCTATCATTACCCGTTGTAAACGAAATCTGAAGGTGTTTATCTCCAAGTGGAGAAGACTGATGCAAGGAAGGAAAGCGCAACTGAGACTTGGGACTGTGAGATAAGGATGAGATTCTGCTTTCAGCAAGTGCTCCCTATAATTAAAACTTCAATGAAGAACTACTGTTGAAAGATCGCATGTGTAAATGATAAATTTCCATTATAAACAATTTCAAAGTTGGAAGATCCTGAGGCCCGAAACAGGCATATGAAATTGATGAAATTGGTATATTCAAGCTGTAGAAGCGCCAATATTATTTTACTTATGCGCAACTCAGAAGAAATTAGTCATCGCACGCCGCGGAAATAGTGGAGGGTTTTCAAAATCCGAAAATTTTCCAGCATCGTCCTCCACTGTTGCCATTGGTCGTCTTTCACCTTTGACATTTATCTTCGTGGCATCAGGTGTCTCGGTTCTCTCGACTTGTTCCTGGGACGTATGACGGCTTTGACTCTTGACTCCAGAACATGTATTATACGGATCGTTTAAACCTTGATTTGCAGAATGATTGTTCTCGTCTGTGTTCTGTGCTGCTGCTGCCTCAGCCTCTTCGCCTGCTGGTGTCCACTCCAGTAAGAGCTGCTGCACGATCTTGTCGTCAGTATGTTCGGCCCCTGATGCTTCATACGGATTGTATGATTTTCCATCATAGTGATCAGGATAATGTGCAGGTCTTCGATCAAATGGAATGACAGACTCCTGTATAAATTGGTGGGACGGGAGATTATAAGAAGTTGGCCGAGGTGATGACTGAGGTGATAGTGGTTGGATTCTTCTGGATCTGCTCCAATCATTGTGTGCTCTACTAAAGTTGTTCGGCTGAGTTACTTTATGGTTCGCTTCACATCTTTGTCTCCAGTTGAAACTGTCAGATACAGGTCTTGCCACTGAGGCCGCTCTTCTATGCGGGGAGTTTCTTGGTCGACGATTGGGCGCAGAGGCTCTTCCAGCAGATGAATGTGCAGATTGATTGTTATACTGGTGTAAGGAACTTCTTTCTGGTGATGATAGGCTTGAATCATCAGATGATGCTTCACTTCTTGGAGATGGTGGCCTTGCCGGACTTCTTCCAGCAAATGAATTTGTACGAGGACCATATGTTGTGGATTTCCTTATGAAGGGATTGGTGGTATTCCCGCCACCAAACGAGGTTCTCAATGGTGAATGTGATCTTGAGTCGTTATCTGATGAGCTGCTTTCGAGCGGTGGAGTCCTTGATCTATAGTATCTTCTAGATAATGCATGTCTTGGACGATCATCATATGTTGAACTTCTGCCCCGGTCTTTGACCAGGGGTTGAGGAAATCTTCGGTAGGGTACTCTTCCCACCCCATGAGTTCGTTGTGGAGGTTCATCATGTGAGCTGGAATGACTATCTGATTCGTACAGCTCAGGATTCCTTATTCCCCGTCGAAGAGGTATTCTACGACTTTCTGCAAAGCCCACGTGCCGTCTACCATTGTAGCTCTCATCATCACTCACATCATCTCTATCTCCGTAATCTTCATCCCAGGATTTTGTTCTTTTGGACTTTGCCGATGGATTGGTGTTTGATCTTGGGGAATTCGTTTGTTTTTCTGGCTGTGGTTGGTTGAAGTTGTGTTCTTTATCGTAAGCATCACGTCTGTTGGGCGACCCCAAGGTTCTGTAGGCTTCAGTAACGAAGCGTTTCCTAGCAGGAAATTTCAAGGGGTTCAACGTCGGATGAGAGTCCTTGCGTAAGGAGAGATTGGGCCTTCTCAAAATTAGCAATTGAAGACATAGCTTCTAGGGATCAAGAATGAAGAAAAAGATATTTACTTTTTGATAGCAGCAGCATTCGCATTTGTTGGAATCTGTAAAGCTTCATAATAATTGCCAAGCGTTCTCTCGAAGTCAGAAGGATCAACATAAGACGTGTCAGATATACATGAAGTTCTTCTTAGTGACTTGGGGGAGTTCGGAGGAATTGGTTCCGCATCTTTAGTGCCGGGGATCAAAAATTCCAGGGATGTTGTTGGAGGAGATTTCAATGATTTTGTGAAATCAACGCTCTTAAGGTTCGAAGTTGCTTGGATATCATCGGCACCTCTGTCTTTCAACGTTGATGAGGAACTCATAGTCCAGCCACTCTTCTCCGATCTTGAAGTGTTATCTGCTGATTCATTTGAAGTTCCCACAAGATATACTGTTATTGACAGGATTCCGTCACTTGTAGGGCTCAGACACTTCCCATAGACGACTTCGAGCTGTGCAAGTGTCCATATGATGCTACTATTGACTTCGTTGTTTGAGTCGACTATATTTTGAACCTGTCTCTGCTGTGGCACTGTGAGATCCAAAAGCTTCGAAATGACTGTCCCACTACTTGTGCTTAGCTCTAAAATTCTTCCAAGTATGTGTCTTCCTGAGAAATGCTGTTTGACTCCATGAGCGTTTACCCAATCAGGCGATTGAAACGAAGTTTCAATGAGTGCTGGATGAATTGTATAGGCACAATAAAGACAATCTTTATCGTCCATAGCTCGTGCGATGAGTTCCCCAAGCTGCTGGGGACCAAAAGCATTACCATTACTACTTTCTCTCGCATCCACTCGAGTTGGTGCAGATCTGTAGTCAAGGCCAAAGTCTGGCTCCATATCAAGGTTAGCCAGAGGCTTGTTAATGATAATCGCGATGTGACCCTTTTCGCTCCGCGACCACAATCGACTGGACTGTTTCTTTACTTCTTTGAGGCTTATGAGCGCTTTTCTATAGCTAGCTTGAGGTTTTAGAATCTGGGTCAGACTAGTGGTCTCGGTCGATTCAAGAAAACAAAATTCCTTCCACCAATCCTGCTGGGGAGTTTGCGACAGCATCCGCTCGATCTCTGATTTGCGTAATTTAAAATCCCTAACAGTAGGTATTTGCTGATAGCTTTGGCCCTTGATGAAAAATGCAGTAAGAAAGGTACCTTCTGGAATCATCCTGTCCATGTCATCCTCGGCAAGATTATTGCGTCTAAAAATACTTTTGAGACCACCACTCTTGATAAAGCTGTGCTTTGAAAAGTTACTCTTCGATGATTGGTTAGTGCCAACCTCAGAACATCTGACATAGCTTAGAGAATTGGATATTTGAGATGCCGGATAATCTGTGGGGAGTTTTCTGAGATTCGATGGCGGCGAACAATCGAGGTTTGAATTATCGAATAGTAACTCCTTTCGCTGCTTGGGCATCTTCACGGAATCAATTTCGACACTCTGTTGGGAGCGACAATTAGTAGATGATGAGGATGAAGTTTCTATGAATGCTTCTGATGCTCTGCTTTGAGGAATGATTTTATCCTGCGACCCATGGCTTTTGTTCTTGTCTGAGAACTTCTCCAACATCGGCAGACTCACTAACTTTAGTGATTCGGGGATTTCTTCCTTTTTGATGGCGAATTGTTCGTTTGTTTTGCGATCGGGTTGATCGATGGTACCGCGAATTTGTGGCTGGTTAGATGAAATAGGAGCCAAGGCAGCGAGTACCTTTGCCGTTACCGTTTCTACGGCATCATCGGGAGTTTCCCTAGGCGTTGCATCGTAAAAGCATATTTTCGGGGTGATAGGACTCTCCAACTCTCCCATCGTTTCTGTCCGGAGTTCGTCTAGATCTCCAGAAAGCAGGTCATACTGAACGGCTTGTGAGCCTAAGTTTTGCGCTTGGCATATCTCATCAATGACGACCGCAGTCGGTTGTTGCAATGTTGTAATATTGTCACCAAAATCGATGAGATCCTCGGAAGTATCATGAAATGAACCAGGATTCTTCTCTCGATTCTCCGAAACGGACATATTTGGTTCCAGATTAAGCAATATTTCTGGCTGAAGCTGTTTGGTCTGCAGACTATAAGCTTGCCGTGGCATACTGTTTCCTAATTTATTGCGCGAACGGGTTGTTTTATCATTTAATTCGATGTCGTTTATCTCCATCGCTGGCTTTGAAACGTTGCTAGCTTGATTACGGCCAACTTGGTAGTTGGCCGATGGCGCCGGAAAAGCCTGTGATGGGACAATCCCTTCATTTTTATTAGCAGAAACCTTTGGATGCCAAGATTGGGCGTAGGTTCTGGCGTTCCGGCGTTCGTGCCCCTTTTGATTTGGGGGGTCTACCTTGCTATCGGGAGACCTAGAAGCTTCTTCGGCTGGACTCTCTTCGTCTATATTCATGGAAGCTTTTGTACTTTGCTGGGCCACTGTGGAAAGGTTCTGATATCTCTTGTCTTTTTGGCCGGGATAAAATGATCTTAATATGTCTTCGTTGCACAATTTCCCACATCACTCATGAGTTCAGGTTTCCGTCTCGCTTCAGCATCATGATGTGCCATATAACTCTTAGCGGCGTCTATGATTCAATTCCCAGGGGCCATGGCATATCCGGTTTAAGATCTGTGGTTAAACCTGGCATTTGTTTTTCCCTTGGAGTCTTGGCTTTGCAGAGAGCTGCTCTGGGCCTCGGCATTCGTTTTCAAAACAGAGTTCAGCGGATCATCTGGAACAGCTGGAGGAATGACTGTGCGAAACGATGTATTTTCTCTTCGATTTAGCTCGGGATGTTGGAAGAAACTCTGTGGAATATGGGTATAACGATTATCAACATATCGTATCCCACTGGCTAAAGGGATAAGATGTTCTCTGCCGGTTGGATTGATGAACCGATTGTTCAAATGTTGAGTTTCGTACTCATTCATTCTAGGATGAAACATGTAGTTTGTCACTTCTGGGAGCATTCCAACCACTTGCTCGATGCCAGACGAAGTTATGTCATACGGTGAAGCACACATGGCATTGATAGGATTCGATCCTCTACACTTGTGTAAGCTCAATTTCAGATTAGCGAATAAAGTTCTAGACTCACGATCGAGGCCCATTTAATCTGACGCTAATTACTGTGAAAAGCAAATTCAAACTCGCTTGAAGTTGATGAAGTTCTCTTGCATATTGAAGAAGTTTGTGTGTCTGTAACGGGGACAGGTATCTTGTAAACCACGATTCTCTGAGTTTGCGGACTTTCGCTGAAGTTTCATCGACTTTAAGGAATTGCGAAGGCCTTGTTGGATCAAATTTCACATCCTCTTTGTATTCATTCAGCCTATTGGCAATCTTGAGCTCCAGTTCGTTTGAGTCGTCCTTGTACAAGACCCATGCCTCCACTCTCCAAAACACTTTCAAACAATCGTCTGTAATACTTTGAATTTGTCTTATTCCGCGCGCATTAAGTGTCGCCTTTTGTCCTAACTTCAAACGCTCAGTTTCCTGTTTCAGAAAATGATTAACGAATTCGAAAGACGCACTTGCAGCATCAATGTTTCTTAATGTTGCTTTGAGATTCTGAGCCGCTGCGCCAGCATCAGTCACGTACTTCGTCAGGATTTGTACTAATTGGACGCCAAAACTTGCGATACCAATTGCTGAGCTTGCAGCTCCCAATATTGTGACAGGATCCATTAAGCTATCGTTATATCGGACATTCTCACCATCAGAATAGAAATGAGCCAATCTCTCCAAACAATGATTCTTCAGCTTTCTTTGATCAACCTTATAATTATTATCCATCAAGGCTTCGGGCTGAGCAAATAAGCTGCATGGTATTATCTTATCTACATATCTTTACGCGAGCAATGGGCGGAGTTCTGCAAAGTTTTGCAGAGCCTTACAAATGAGCCTCGATGACTGCATGAGTGCGACCCTGTTGATCACATACGTAAGCTTGAATCTTCAAAGAATTGAAAACGACGTCCGAAGCACTTATACTGCAGGTCAGACCTTATAAAATTGATTTTCGTGTGACTTCTAAACCAGATTTCCACCAATCTCCCGCCTCTCGCACCTGTGTCTAGGTATTGTAAGGCGTCCAAGGCATTTCAATGTGCTCTCTTGACACTAGACTCATCAACTACTAATGATTCCGCAACACGACATCTGTCGTGAACAGAATTGATGTAATTAATATACATCATCTGGTCTACTACTGTGCCTTGCCCGACTGCAGGCTGGTGCCTTCTGAGTGTTCATTTTGAACCAATGTAACCATGATGTTTCCGGGGAGCCTTACCCCGCCTCTCGGATAAAATCAAGGTCAAACGAGCCGCATACACTCTTTCTGCATTGAAAAATGATTGATGTTACGTCGCGCGAACTTGAGGGTTCTAGATAACGAACTTCCGGGGTTTCGGGAGCTTTTATAGATTAGCTCCCGACTGTGTTGTTACCTTTTGTGATTCCGTCTACCATATTCCTGATCTTCTCCACTACCACTATGAAATCCTCATCCTCAGCATCAGCAAACCTCACCATAGCGCCGTGCGTCTTCCGTAATTTGACCACGACTTCAAGCTCGCCCTCCCCATCTTTACTCTTCTCTTCTCTCCCACCCGCCCCACCCAAATGCCTGACCTTCTCTTCCTCGCTTGCCATCTCTCTAAACCACACAATATTCCAACCTAAGTGCTCACCCACTGGATCAAATCTCTCACTTCCCATTTTTAGCCACATCATCTCTTTCCTCAACTCCTTCATCTCGCTACTCAATGTGGCTTCTGGCAATGCAAGCACCGTGCTCAGATTTTCCAATCCCATGTTTTTGGCTACTCCGAAGAACAGAAAGGCGTGGGTTGAGACTTGGATATCACTGAAAGGCGGGGCGATTGATATTGCCTAATTTAGTTAGCACGAGTCATTTCTCAACATACAACATGGGAGCAATATTAAACACATCGGATCGAGAGAGTACATACAGCCCGTAATAAGGGACCCCCAAAACTGTGCGCACACCAAATTATTTTCCTTCCTTCACTCTCTGTCACAGTTCTCAACTCTCCAATACTTTTCATTAATCCAACGCCGATAACTTCGACGGGATCTCGACGTGCATATCCATAACTGAGTACTCGAATCTTCACACCTGGATATGTTTCCAAAATTCCAGGTAAAAGATCGCGTAACCAAAGTACTCCATTATCTCTGTTTGTCCAGGAATTGATGGGATGGCCATTTTGACCGTGAATGGCTATGATACTGGAAATGTTAGTTATTGATGAAAGAAGAATATAGAGACGCACTCAATAGTTGCATCGGGAGAATCATGGATCATTTTTAGACCAATCGATGATGGATCTTGGGGTACTATCGGCACGGGTTTGGATGATGGTGGCTGTGGATCATCGTTGTTGTATTTGGAGATCTTCAATCGAAGCTTACCGAAAGCTTTCTTCATTATTGATTATTGGTATGATTTGATGTGATTCTTTTTGATTACTATGTAACTTCTTCAGAGTGGTTATGCAAATCACTAACGACTGAATATATAGAATAGATTATATCGATATTTGGGTCGGCTTGAATGTGTATTGGAGCGTGTTGAGGCACTGGCGTATGCGTCGATTCTCTACGGCATCCTCGAACACACGATTATCCGATAACGATGATGTACACGAGTAATATCAGGGATGCGAGCTTGGATCATCTCTGAGCCGTACATGGTGACAGTGATGTCGGTGGCGATGGTAGATAAGCCAAATTGGTGCATAGCTGTTTGGTTGGAACTAGAAAATTCGTGGAATCGAGTAACCAAACGTGTTTAACCAATAGCATTTTCGTGTGTATATCAAGGTCATGTTCTGAAGATGTTCTAGAGATGTTCTGCTATTATGGAGCCGGTCTGAAGAATCGTGGAATGGCCAGACGAGCCAGAGTGGAGATCAGATGTTCCACATTACGATCATGTGACTTTGAACAATTTATCATCAGCTTCGCGACTGGTTCTTATGACTGAACATGCAATGCAATGTCAGCCCTAGAGTTATAGTGTACTGCATTCGAAGTAATGTTGCACAGGACAGGTCACACAGCAATTCAGCTATCAGGAAATATCTCCGAGTCCACACTCTTCAGACTCATCACGTGCAAAAATCAGAAGAGCGGAAATATCACCCCCTTCATCGCCTCGCTTCATCCGAACTTCCTTTCATAAGACAGCTTCACAGTGCGCAATGCAAAAAACTTGAAGCTAAAAGTCCGGACTTCTAGAGAAAAACAAGAGTCAAGAGCCTACGATAGGTTATAATTTCACGAAGTGGAGTATCCAATTTAATCCAATTTTACACAATTCACCATCGGAAGTTTAATTCACCGATAGCCATTCCGTCTTTTTAAACCGGTATCATATCTTTCCTAGGTACTAGTAGCAGACCGCTATCTGATAGCACGCGGGCACTTCCTTTTCTGGAAGATTCGAAAAAGGTACCAGAAGCTAGTTCAAAGTTCGACATGTCAATTGGTGCGAAGCTATGACATTAGGAGGGATACCGCCGTTTTGAAATTAATCATAAGCTAATATAAATATTAATGGCCAACGCATTATTTGAGAACCACTATGTTATGGCGAAAAACGCCTCGATGTACAAATTGCCAATTCCCATCAAGTTCAGGCGGAAATACGTTCTCTACCGTTATCACATTGAAGATCCTCGTGCTATTGAATTGCCGTATATGATCAATTGCAAGTAATTTTCACCACTCAAAATTCACTCCCTGAATAACATTCTCTATGATTGGCTGTTAAATATTCATGCACATTATCCGAACAACGCCTACGCTATCGCTCGACCACTCGAGCCACTCACCAAGCATTTAATGTTGCCGGGCAGTCCGTCGATCCCCGCTATTACTGACTAACCCTGAAAATATCTGAAAACCATAACTTTAACTTCCAATTCGAGGATTCTTTTCCCCTCCAACCCAGGTCAAAGTGTGATCAAACACCCAAAGACCTGGACAATCATACCCCGCATTCTCTAGTCCTGCACGAGGGGCAGTTGGAAGTTGGAAGTGGAACGACAGGCAGCATAAGAATCCTGGGGACCCCAAGTTTAGAAGATGGCTCTATCTTCAACATCTGACGATCTGGCCGCACAGTCGGATACCGATAACACGATGGGCAACATTCACAATCGCGATCACATTGGAGACAATGAGAAACCTCTTCATTTCCCTGAAGAGGACCATCTCAAAGTCTCGACATCAATGGAACAGATGATTAAGGATGCGAAAGCGTCTACGGAGAAGGAACATAACATGTCACTGCTTCAGGGAATCAAATTGTATCCTAAAGCTATCGGATGGTCTCTTCTGATCTCGACATGTATTGCTATGGAGGGATACGATGTGTGTTTACTGAGCAACTTTTGTAAGCTCAATAGACTCCAGGCTCCAAGATCCATTATACTAATCTTTTAGATGCATTTCCTCAATTCAATGAAAAATACGGTGAACAATTACCTGATGGCACATGGCAGGTGCCAGCAAAATGGCAAGCAGGTTTGAGTAACGTAAGTCAATATTTACATCACTAACTGTTGAATTCAATTACTCACGTGTCGAACAGGGTGCAAATGTTGGTGAAATTATTGGTCTATTTATCAATGGTTGGGTTTCCGAAAAATTTGGATACCGATACACGGTCATGACTTGTTTGAGTTTGATTATTGCATTTACGGCAATTTTTTTTACTGCTCAAGACGTCATCGCGCTAGAAGTTGCTGAAGTTCTATGCGGTATTGTAAGTCTGCCCCAACTCAACGTCGTCTAAACTTTTGTTAATATTTGGATAGCCATGGGGAGTCTTCCAAACACTCACTATCACTTATGCATCAGAAGTCTGTCCTCTTGGACTTCGTGGATACCTCACTACCTATGTCAATTTCTGTTGGGGATTGGGGCAAGTCATTGGTATTGGCGTTATTAAATCTATGTTACCACGGACTGATGAATGGGCTTATAAAATACCTTACAGTCTCCAATGGATGTGGCCAGTTCCACTCCTAGTTGGTATCGCACTCGCTCCAGAATCTCCATGGTGGCTTGTTCGAAAAGGAAGGGTTGCAGAAGCTAAGAAATCGCTTCTTCGATTGACCAGTCTAAACAAGGAAACAAACTTTGATGCTGACGAGACCATTGCAATGATGGTTCATACTACGGCAATTGAGGAGAAAATCACCAAAGGAGCAAGCTATATGGATTGCTTCAGGGGTGTGGACAGACGTAGAACTGAGGTGAAGCTCCCCGTGAAATGATATGGAAAGATTAGAAGTTAACGTTCAACAGATTGTCTGCATGGTATGGGCCATGCAAAACCTTAGTGGAAATTCTTTTTCGGGCTACTCTACCTATTTCCTGCAACAGGCCGGACTGCCCACCTCGACATCCTACGACTTTGCTCTAGGTCAATATGGTATTAACATGGCCGGCGTTTTTGGAGCCTGGTTCCTCATGAGCTTGGGAATTGGTCGAAGATCTCTCTACCTTTATGGTCTTTGTGTTTTGTGTAGTATGCTTTTTATTCTCGGATTCCTAGGTCTCGTCCCAGCTGCTCATAAAACCGAGGCATCGCTTGCTACTGGATCTATTATGTTGGTATGGGCATTGGCATACCAACTTACCGTCGGCAC